GGGACATTCGTTTGAAAGCAGATGGGTAGTATTTAGTGTTGGGTTACAAATTACAGACAGAGGGTTTGATCCAGATTTAGTTACACTGTGAGGAGAGGCATGGAAATCAATAGAATACAGGCATGTCTGAGTAGCCCTATTGAAAGCAATGAGACTTATGCCAGAATATGATTACATCTGGATGCAACCCAGACGGCGCAAACCAGTGACATTTCTTCCAGCATAGCTGGACTGTGTTGGAGTCAGCCAGTGTTGCAGACAGGGTGCCGGATAAGATGGCTGCAGTCCTGAATGTGCTTAGGGTGCAATCCTGTGCATGTTTAGCTGGGGAAACCCTCCTGCAACTGCCTGCGTGCTCCAGCACGGGATCATAACAATGACAGGAAGTCTGGTGAATGGATAAATTGATATGCTAATTCCCATTTTTCTGAGACAGCCTGCACACATTTATTTGGAAGTAAGCCCCACTGGTAGAACATATTTCTGAGAAAGCATGCTTTTTGGACTCTGGTGTTGGTAGCCTTTTGGTGTGTGCTGAGGCACTGAGGATAGAAAGTGGGCTTGCAGAGGATGGTCTGTTAACCTGTGGTGGGTCTGGACTTTCCCATCAGCACCTTGGAAATTTTGCATGAGGAGCAGGGTGAGCTGTGCTGTGGTGGGATGGAGATCCTCTCAATATTGGGTGGAGGGACCTTCCACCACAGGAGACCTTCCTCTTGCAGAAGGATCCTTCTTCTTGTGGAGAGCAGATCCTTGATCTAGCTGTCGTTCTCACCCTGTTCCGTGACTTGCAGAAAGGAATTCCATTGCATGGCATTGGTGAAGCTTGAAATACTCCAAATGAAGCTCATTTCCTGAATTGGCTGCTTTGGAGGAAATCTGAATGTGGTATCAGAATTTGGGTGTCTTTCTTAATGTTGTCCGGCAAGTGGAAGGTGGCACAATCATCTGCTGATGACTGAATGAAGACAGGGCCAAGAGAAGACCTGCTGGCCAGCTTCATTGGGGTGCCTTTGAAATTCAGCAGGGCAGCATTTGTGCTTCGGCCTGCGGATCATGAAGTTGCGTGTGCGTTGCTAGTAAACAACAGGCTCTCGGGCAGTAAGTAGATGCTGGTTCAAGGGGATGATGCTTTTCAGCAGGACTCCGAGATGACGGCATTTCTGTGGTGAACAAGGATGCTCTGCCACAAGATCTGCCCCTGGAACATTCTGTCGGTACTTGTCTTGTTACAAATTACTTGGCTTTAAAGCTATAATTATGGTAATAGAGTGAATTGCTGTCTAGTGAAACCATAAAACATTTCCATCTGCCTGCCGCAGCCCCGAAGCAAAGCTCATTACCGCAGACAAGTGCAAGGGAGGTTAACAGAGGGCTGAATCTGACTCAGGAGTGACTTCCTGGAGGGAGAGAGAGCGAGAGAGAGAATTCCCAAGAATCTGCTAGAGGGTTGGCACGAGGCTTCCAATGGCCCAAATTTCTCCAGGGGCATTGGCCTGAGCAAAAACACAGATTTGATAAATGCTTTATTGCAGAAGCAAGGCCCAGCTGGTTCCGATATGCTATTTTCTTCAATGGTGGAGTATGTGTGAAACTTTTGCCATCGGCCTGCAAAACTGACAATCTACATCAGGGGTGTAGGAAGGAATTACAGTGCAACTGGTATTGGTCTGGTGTGAGCAAGTGTTGTGCTTGGAACATAATAGCAGCTTCCAAAGGAGTAAGCTGAAGGCATGCAGTTGGGAATGGGCGAACCTCAGTGGTGCATATGCTGTGAGACAGTAATGGACCCTTTATGCAGCCCGTGGAACCGTCACTCTGTGGAATTGCATCTGCTTTTAAGGAAGTGTTGAAAAAAGACCTGGGGGAAACTGGCACTTGGCAGGCAGATGAGCGGCCTACACATGGCCTTCAGTCTCTGATAACAGAGTACAAAATCTGCTTCAATATTTTGGAGGATGCAGAGCCATCCTAGGGGGAAAACTTGATAAGTTGGATATTTACTCTTACATTGTCATAGAGGTTTTTGCTTTTTGCAGTGCAGGGTGTGTGTGTCTTTCAATACTAAGTGGCTTGGATTCATTAAAAGTGGATAGAAAATAGCACCAACCACATAAAAATCCCTTGCGCATACGCAGAGTGCCTTTCCTTTTCTATCTGGGAAATGGCAGCTTGTCTCTCCCGCAGAATTAAGGAGAAGGTGCACAGATAGAACTCTTCCCTATAAGCTGGAGAACCCTGCAGATCCCTCTCTGAAAAATCAAAAATTGCCTGCACTTCAGGACGTCTGTTTCAAAATCGTGGTTGAAAAGGGCAAGAGGCGCACACTGGGTTTGCACAAGATGGCAGCCTATACCAGTTCTCACGGGATGGTTTGCTTGAAGGCAACAAGCCATCCTGATGGCCCAGAGTTGTAGTTGGGGTTGTCTAGCCATGCAGGGCCATCATGTGATCCAAACCCAAGAGAACAACCCTGTTCTAGATGCCAGGAAGCAGCCAGCAAAGACAAGAGCAGCAACCCCCTCCCCCAAAGAGTCAAAACCCCGCTTGCTTTAAAAAGTGTGTGTGTTTAGCAGGATTCTCCACGGTTTCTTCACAGGGATATGTGCAGGCGCGAATGTATATATCGCTGTGTTTGCAAAACAGCAACACACACGCACAACATTGAGAGCCCTGTCAAGAATCCCCCTTTAACGTGGTCTAGCATTTTGACAGCTAGTTGTCAAAACTCTAGTTCTCTTTACGAAGGGCTGGCTTGCTCTTTCCCGTTTCCAAAGCTCTGAGTGTCCCCTGAACAACTGGGAAAGTGAGTTTACCCCCAGGTCGATCTAGAGCAAAAACAACACAAAAAGCTGAAGGAGCTTAACATGAAGGAGGTGAAAATCCCACCTCCCCGCTCTTTTCACGAGCAAAGATAATTTTTGCCTTTGGTTTGCCCCGACAACTCAGGTTTTGACAGTTGTCAAGAGAAACTAAGCAGAAGGAAAAGCCTCTTGGGTGCTTTTTTGGTTGGCACCTGCCATGCTGTTGCAGCAATTACTGCCTCCCCCAGGACTTGAGTCCAGCAGAGGCTTTCAGATGTCGCCCCTGTCCACCTCCTCATTTGTGCAGGTGTCTGGAAGGAAAAGGACAATATCTAAAGAGAAAAAGGTTTCTCAAAATGCCTGTGGGCATTTTCAAGGGACTCCCAAGTGGCTGTCAAAGTGAGGATTGCAAAACCAAGCTGTCAAGCCAGGTTTTCTCATCTCTGAAGGAAAAACAGTGATGAAAGGGCTCACAATTGGGGGTGGTGGAGGAGACCAGTTACTCCTGCTACGGGGTCCTTCGTAATACCTGCAGGGGGGTCAAAGGGGCTGGAGTGAGAGGCAGGCGGCGAACAACGCCCCGACCATCTGTCAGGCACACCGTGAACCTGGCTGTTTGTGACTACCCAGCACGGCCTGGCTCACAGCCATGGAGAGTTGTCATGATAACGCGCCCACTTTCTTTCCTCTTCTCCCAAAAACTCCACCCAGGATTCTTCTCCCTTCATTTCAGTAGCTTTGTTGTTGGTTCTAATCTTAAACTACCAAAAAGCAAGGGCAGTTGGGCGTTCTTCCCTTCTCTCTCTTTTTCTGGGGTGCAAAGGGAGAATGTGAGAGGAAAACTGGGACTGCAGGTGGGACTGGAGAATGCAGGAATGCTGCTGAAATGCAGGCACTGAGGGAGGGAAGCAGGCGACCAAGGGAGACTTGGAATGGGCCTAGTCGTCTGCCATCCAGCCAGTTGGTCAATTCACAAAGAAAGCATTCCTTGTTTCTGTGTTTTTAAAATAAAGTTTTTAAAGCAAACTTGTTGATCCAGAGATACTCTCTTGGTGAGAAGTGTAAGGTGATTTTTAACCAAAAAAAACCCCTTAACATTATTTTGAGGATGCCTGTAGGATGCAGTGCTACTAAGGGCACGCCGGCTTCTGCTCCCAAGTCACTGTATGACTGCAGTGACATCTGTGAGAGCGGATTTGCTTTTTGAGTTGGTGGGACTGCCATTTTAAAGTTCTCACATCTCCATAGAACAGGATTTGTGCAGGGATGTCTTCAATCATGTACGGAGTGCCATGTTATCCCCACGCAGTAGCATCAGCTGTGAACGGCAAATTCACACACAGACATACATCCGTGTCAGAGACAAAGTGGACCCCCCCTCCCTGCAGCACTTCTCACTGAGAAGCAAAACTATTCTGTATCTGAGATTCTCGAATGTGTTGACTTTAAGGAGAAAATACCTACAACCCCGGAACAGCCTTACAATACATGCACCTAAGTTTTCACTTGCCAGGGAGCAACGCTTGCTACATGCATGCGGGCATTCAGTGAAAACTCATTCTGCCTCTCAGGCACCTGCACGTGCGCATGGACAAGCTCTCAGCCAGGATCCAGCAGAGCTGAGCATTAGAAGCTCTTTTCAGTGCCACAACTCATTCCTGGGGACCATGTGCAGCATTCCTTGACGTCGCTGAAGGAGCCTCACCAGGCTCCATAGGCTTGGCATGCGGGAGGACCCTTCCCTGGTTTTGAGAGGGGCTGGGTACCTGTCAGTGGGATGTCCAGGAAGACCTGAGAGTGCCAGACTTCTTTCATTTTAGATCCTCAGCGACAAAGTGTACCTTGAAGCTTGGCCCAAAGTTTAGCAGCAGAAGTTGGATTGGAAGCAAACAGGCCTGCTATGTGGGGACAACGTCACTGGCTTCTTACGGGGGGCGGGCAGCAACGGAGTTTGTGGGTGCCCCTTGAATATCTGTCAGGAGCGGAAGAGTTGGAACTAGGATAAGATGACACTGTTGTGTTCCCCTGCCTCCTTGATTAGGGAGGGCTGTATCCCAGCCCCGAATGCTGGAGCTGCTGCTGAACAAGCTTCCTTCTTTACCAAGGGCTGGGGGACAAAACTGTACGTCTTCACAGCCTTTGTGTGCAGCATCTTAACAGGCTCAAAATAACCTCAGCTTTTCTTTCTGCTTTCAGATTGTTTGCAGGCATTGTCCCTCGAATATCTGCCATCAGTCTCGGAGGCTTTATCTTCCTTGGGATGTATGACAAGATACGCAGCTTGTTTTTGTGAGTCAGCCCTGGGACTTGAAACAAACAGCTGGAGAGCTGCTTTTTCCCCCCCTCCTAAGAAAAACGCACATCCATGAAAATTAATCATTTGCCTTCCCGCACGTTTTTCTCCTGCCCCATCCCTTTGTGCCTCCTGTGGTTCAGCAGCTGTTCCACCGCCTGGAGTCGATTCTCGTTATTTAAACTAGAAAAAGGAACCCCCTTAATTCTGTTTCCCTAATATAAAATTTCCGTGTATGGAAACCCCTGTTCTAGCGGTGAGCTCATTGGAAGGCATTTGCCAAGAAAGGCAACTTTGGGGGGCAAACAGCTCATTTTATGGGCTCCAGCCTTGTGCCTGAAAGGCATTATTATTAGAACTCATTTAGGGAGAATGATGTGCAAACGAGAAGAACATGGCCTGCACAGCATGGCGGAAATAAAAGGAGCCTTTTTTTACATTGTGACACTAGAATCATGGCCTTGAAGAAGACCTGCGCCTTCCATTTCCTCTACCAGAGGCCTGTTACACTCTCCGAGGCCTGGAAGAGGCTCTGCAGAGGTTTCCACAAGGGGAATAGGCCGCTCGCGTCTTGTTTGTTCCCTATTTGGAAAGTTTAGACCACTGTTCATACCTGCAGGTGCATAGTAAGCATTCTTGCTTGGATAAGCAAGACTGCCTTTTTTAATTAGACTCAGATTTCTCCAGTAAAAGTACAATGTTGTATTCTTTTACTGTCTAACAATGCTGCCTGTGAAAAAGAAACAAAGGCCTTGTTTTGTTTTGTTTGCTTTCCCACCCCTTGCCTTTATGGCTGCACAATCTTGCAGAACAAGAAATGGGGGATTTTTGGGCAGTGGAGGAAACAAATGACGAGCGAGTGAATGAAGGAAGATTCCACCTGCTTGATGCCAAAGTCTGCTGCTCTTTTACCGTAGCGTTAGAGCCAAATTAGTGGGACTCTTCTGGGATGCGGGAGTGCCACTTTCCTCAAGAAAGGATAGGTGTCACGTTTGGGTTTTAGTGCCCTTCTTGATAAACTGCTATTTAAAGGCATTTCAAAACCAATTTTATATATAGCCAACCTACTGGCTGGATGTGTGGCTTCAGTGCCCCTGCCCCAACTTATTGTTGGTTATGTGCCATCAAGTTGTCCCCAACTTTTGGCAACCCTATGTATGAAAGCCCTCCAATGTCCTATCCATGACATCCTTATTCAGCTCTTGCAAATTCAGGGTGGCTGCTGCTTTTATGGAGTTGATCCTGCTCATATTTGGACTTCCTTTTCATCTCCTGCCAACTTTCCCTAGCATGATGGACTTCTCCAGGTAGTTTTGCCTTCTCACGATGTGTCCAACATATTAATAGCTTCAGCAGTGTCATTTTTGCTTCTAGGGAAAGTAATGGCTTGAGTTGGTCTCAGGCCCACTTGTTCTCCCCCACCCATCCCCCTCAGTCCAGCTCTCCAGCACCATGTTTCAAACACTTTTTTGTTTTTGACTGTCTCATTGAGTTCAGTGGGTGTACTTCAAGAATGACTTTGGGTGGGATCCAGATGTAGTCAGTGTAGAACTTTTGGAGTAATAGGGCCTTAGTTGAAGGCCTTTGTAACTTAAAGCATTACATTGAGTTCAATGTCTCTATGTGGAATTCCATTTGGCTCTGTAGGTACCTACTCAAAAGTAAGACCTGTTGACTGCTATTTATTATTACGCTGGGATTTATTCTCAGGCTAGTGGTATAGGATTGCTGTTTAGCAACAGGCATAGAATTGTATTAACCTCAGCGAAATCAATACATTTGAATGGGCTCAGGTTGGATCATGATGCAACTCTATTGAGGGGCATTTCAAGCTTACCTGGAAACAGTACCATCTGTGCTAAAAGCCCTCATCTTCTATACTGATTGCAGATTTACTCTCTAAGTGCAAGCCTCTGGTAGCCAAAATACCTCCATCAAGGAGGAGGCACCAGCAGTGTTGGAAGAACATCAAGGTTGGTGGAAATACCAAACAAGACCTTAACTTAGGTAGAAACCAGCCCAGTAAGAACAGCCTATCACATAGCCAAAGAAAATTTCAGTTTGCCTTTGGGAGGGTACAGAACATTTGGGTGGGGAGAAAGGTTAATGGAATGTCACATGGAAGAGGACATGGTTGGCTTGCAGGCTGGACTCTTGACCAGTAGTCAGATATTCCCAGTGCAACTTTTGGGATAGATTCCAGTAGAACACCATGCACAAGAGGCTGAAAAAAACCCAAATCTTTGGGGCAGGGGGAAACCCAGCCACAATATACTGAGTGGGAAAAATCAGGTGGCTGGATGGAAAAATAAAATGAAGTTGTTGGAATCCTGTACAGGCATTTTATGCTACATTTATCCTCATTTCCACTAGCTGCAGTTACAAAATGGGAACAAGAGCATATATCTGTAAGTGCTCTTATCTATAGTCTATTTAAGCATTTATAGTAATGTCCCAGGCTCAAGTTAAGCTCCGACTTGGAAGAATAGAAGCCTCATGCTCCAGGCCCTGGAAAAGAATGCAAAAAAAAATAAGTACATAGAGGTTGCAGAAAACAGTAATTAGGGGTTGCCTTACCATTGGAGTGCATTGCTGTGTCTATGCTCTGGACATAGCCTCCTACTTCTTTCATTTTAGAAAAGACTTCCTGGGCACATCTCCAGGAATTCCATTTCAAGCCACAGGAACTATGTCTGATTGAACATTTTCTTCCAATAATCTATGAATTGAGCCCATTTTGTCTCAGATGATTTGTATCTTCCACACATATTTGAGATAAGTAACCTTGTGTATCATCACAAATGTGCACATGTAAGTATGTTAATTCTGAAAGTTCATGGAGTGTGTGTGTGAAGAAGTAGTTGTCCTTGCCACTCTTGAATCAATCTATTTTTTAAGGCAACTCTTGGGTCCTACTATTAGGAAGAGAGAGGCATAGAATCTCAACCTGACTTTCAGTGGGAAATTCCTAATTCTGGTACCGTCTCCTACCCTGGAAGTCATTTTTGAAAACAAACACAAACCTCTTCCCCAATAGTTCCTTGGGAAGAGGTGATCCCTGCTCTGGAATACTCTTTCTGGCCAAGGGCCATGTGTGATGGTGCAAGTAAAGGATCGAGACCACCTTGTCAAGGCTGAAAGCTTCTGTGGATTGACTTTTGAGCAATTTTCAGGAGCATGACAGCAGGTAAAGGAAGCTCATGAATGCATGCTAAGTCAAATGGGAAGGTTAAAGCGGGGGTGGGGGCGGCGTACTGGTTTTGGACTGGACAGGAGGAGGAAGTACTTTTCCATTATTCAAACACAACCTGACTAGTATGGTTTGAGCTCTACCAATGCTGATCATGGGGAAATGGCATGTCCAACTAGCTGCCACTGCAAAGAAGGGCTATTTCTTTTATATACTATTTTTCAGGTCTTGTTAACATTTAATAAACATTGCCCTGGATCATCCAACCACCTTGTTTTGCCTTCTTTTTTAATGCCAGGGGCAGCAACTTCCTGTCAACTAGGAAAAACTTTCCTTAGCAATGATATTAAGAGTACATTATGCTGCAGATTCATTCAGAAACGAGTCTCACTGTATTCAGTTATGCTTATACCCCAGGAATTGTGCTTAGGATGTATTAAAGCTAAAAGGTATTTTGGAAATCCCAAAGGTATGGGCAATGTAAAATTTTGTTTTTCTTAAACTGCATTCTGAACTCCAAAAGTACAGATCCCAATCCGGACAAAAAACTTGATATTATAAATGGACCTTTATTAAAGACACTTCAATGCCATTTGTTAGACACTTCCAATATTTTTACAATGTACTTCTCAATGTACAACATTGTACCAAAATTTTCTAATAAATAAATAACTTTGTACACGAAAGTAATACTTCCTCTTTCACATTGCCTCTCAGAAGCAGCAGATTCACATATTTAGTGGAAGTAACATTATTTAAACAGTTAACCATATCCAAAAATACAATATTTTTCAAAATGTCAATGTGGCAACTGTGCTTAGCATTTCCAATGGTGATAATTTTTTCCTATGCTTTTTTATGTGCATGTTCCCGCAACCTAACATTTACCTTAGAAAGCATTATCACGTATTCCCTCTTGATGCAATGAAGAGAAAATGCACCCTGAATATTTTTGTTTTTCCTATTGGCCACTGTTTTTTTAAAAAAATTACTGAATAGCTATAAAGTTGGCACCTCATTAATTAGCCACCTACCACAAAGTGCAAGGGTACCTACTGTCAGGAAGTGACCAAGATGGGTAGCTGGCTAATCTATGCATTGCTTCATAAAGGCCAGCTTCAGCTAAAAAGCAAATGGCAAAACTTTTAAGGCCCTTGCCTAACAAACCTGCATCACCTCTTACGGGTTTGGTTGGAAGTCACGAGGTGCAAAACAGCCGATGGTTATAGGCTCTACCCAGCTGTAAGAGGAAAGGCTATGCTTCAGCAGATGTCCTATTAAAGGAAAGACCATCACACTCACACAAAGCTAGAGGGAAGAACAGGCACAGATGGCAGGCCACAAACTTCTGGTAGTTTCCTGTGCAGGTGCGATGGCAGAGTCCTGGTGATGAAACGAATACAGCGCAGAGCAACCTGGCCTCATGATGCCTATTCAATGTGGCACTTTCCAATCAATGTAAGGATTGTTGATGAGGAGAAGACCGGTGTGCAAGGAATAAGCAACTCCTTCAGAACCGCCTAGCAATCTAATCAAGGTGACGCCAGAGCCAACTCACGGTCTTCCACCTACGTTGAGTGCTAGCTTACTGTTCCATGCGGACAGGCCCTCCTAGATTGAGACCTGTTCTCCTACAATACTGCCCTAAACTAAATATTCTTACTTCCCCGCATTCCTCCTCTGAAACTGGCCTTAAGTCCTGGCTAAGAATAATACAAAAAGAAAACACCCAAAATGCCGTTCTGCCCCTCTTAGCCCAAGTCTTAATTTAAATTGAACTGTCTTGTATTAGACCAACTCAAACTACGAAGAAAGAATTATGGAAAAATGAAAATGTCAGCATACAAGTACAAATATCAAGCAGCAGCAGCATTTATATAAATTAAAAATGCTCTATACTTAATGTTTTATATAAAACAGTTTTCCCCATGCGTGTTCAACATCGGGCTTTCTATTTTTGTTGCTAGTTTGTTTTATAATAGTGAGTTAGGTGGCTGATAGCTCTCAAAGTAGTATTTTAAAAAATTAAAACAGAAGCCTGATGCGGCTCCATCTTTTGAATAGTTTTCTTGGTGGAACTTAAGAGACTAACAATTCAGAGAGTTTTCTTCAACATCAAACAGAGCTAGCCACTAAGAATCTGCATTCTAAGCCAAAATGTAGACAAAGAAAAAATTAGGGGTTTATGTGCATGTGCAAATGCATTATTCAGTGTGTTGGATTACTGTGTAAGAAAGTAACTTAGGAATTACCCACATATTTCAAGATTTCCCTTATCAGTGCTAAGATGCCATAATGTAAATAGTAAAGGGTTTGCATCACATAAATGTCTTGCTTTTTCCTGTTTGTTCAGGTGTACATGCAATGTAAGGCTTTTCCACTGGGATGCACAGATATTGCTAGTGCAATGAGCCGTTAGCATTTAAATACAAATACATGTTGTGATCCTACTCATGGCCATGTGCATCTAAAAACGAGTCCACTGCACATTTATGTGAATATCCAGCACAACAGGGGCTACATAAGCATTTCTACTTTTTCAAAAATGTGATTGCTGCCTGCTTTCCCTTCTTCCAGTGCCAGCCCAATTGCACTGAAAGGAAACACGGCCAGTGCATGCTGCTTCGATATGCCAAGAATCGGAGGCTTCACTTCTGCTCAGCAATGCTGAAACAACCATTCTCAGTTATAAGACTGCATCTTATACATTTAGTTGGGAGGAAGCCTCAAGGAACTAAACGGTACTAAAGTTTGAGCAGAGATGCAGAGATTTGCGCTATAAATGCCGTATCTCTGGGGAATTATTTGAGCAAACAAACCAATTCGGTATGATAAAAAGAACAATTTCAACAGCTCGGTCTTCTCCATTAAGGGTATATGGGCCCATTCTTGGAAGTTCTGCTTAAGGCACCAGAACTCTTGCACGGGTGGCGTTTAAGAGAACCTAACCACCACCCTATCGCGAGAAAACAATGTACGTTGTCAACATTGTATACTTTCACTCAGTTTGATCATGCACCAAGGAATAAAATAACCTCTGTTAGAAGATATATAATATATATATAGATTTTATATATATATATATATATATATATTTATATGAAAACTCTTATGTACAAATTTGTTATCAAATACTTTACACAATAACCATTTGCATTTCTGTGCTTTATATGCAAGCCAACGTGTGAGCCACGGATACTTCTTGGGGTAACTTAAGAACTATTTACAAGTGGGCACCAGTTAGGACTTTGTTTCCCCACACAAGCTTGCTTCTTATACCTCATTTTGTTTTCTTTTTCTTCTCTCTTTCCTGTAAGAAGCTGTCCGTTCAGAACTTGAGGTAGAAGTAGCTTAGATAATTCTGTGCAAAGAAATTCTCTGTGTGTATTTCATGTTCGGTTCAATTTGCACATAGCAGTTTTCTTGGTCTGGTGTAATTTTTTCAGTGGCTTGACTCATGAAGAGAGTCACGTGACCTTGGTAAGTGTCCATTGGAAAGAAGTGTTTGTTTAGATTCCACTTCTGGCAAGGTCTGAGATAGCTCAGCAGTTCCTTTTAGGCACCTCGATGAGCCTTCAGGAGGCAGTAAACAGCCGTATGGCTCTGAGGATTTTGTTAAAGGCTGCAAAGAACCTGTAAAGACATACAACACAAGAGTCTATAGATGGAATTTTTCAAAACTTGGCTACTAGCTTGTTCTTCCAAAGATGCGAACACATTACCTATGACTATTTTTGTTACATGTCATCAAGTCGTCTTATGACTTATGGTGTCATAATGAATGAAATACCCTCCAAACCCTTGGCAGCCCTGCTCAGCTCTTGTCAGTTCGAGGCTGTGGCTTCCATGATGGGGTCCATCCATCCATTCCCAAGCATGCCTGGGAAGCAAAAGCAGCTCAGCCTGAAAGCAACAGCTCGCTCTCCTCTCCCCAGGGTCTGCACACAAGGGGCACGCACCCCAGGCTCCCCTGTGACATGCAGGCGGCTCAGGCAATGCGGCCTCCCTGCCAGGGACGTTCTGACTCCCACGGACTCCCCAGGGGTTTTCTCCCGGGCAAGACTGCCTCATGTCTGGAGAGCTAGAGCTGATCCGGATTCCATGCGTATTTTTTGAAAAATGTCCTCTGGGAATGTATTACGTACACTCATGTTGCTTCCCTAGCATGCTTTAAGCCTCTAGGGTAGAAACTGTGTGTGGGAAGCAAGCTCTATAGGGATCACTGGCCGGAGAGGTATGGGCCAATCTGAATCAGATCGAAGTGGTCCATACCATTGCATAGATTTTTTTTTTATTATTATTTTTGTATGCTGTCTCATCGCTTACAGCCTCGGGACGGCTCACATAAATAAACACAATACAAATATAATTAAAACCCAGAAACACCCTGGCTGCACAATTAAAACCTATAATTATTATTAATCATAGTTAAAATATTGTTTAAATAAAAAGGTCTTAGCCTGGCTCTGAAAAACAAGTAACGATGGCACCAGGCGGACCTCTCTGGGGAGCGCATTCCACGGGTGGGATATAAAAGCATCTTTATCTATATTACAGGCTTATGGATAGAAGTGACTCATCCGAGCAACTGGAAAACCTATTATGGGATGTAGGTCTAAGCCAATGATGGGGAACCTCTTTCCGTCCAAGGGCTGAACTCAAGCTTGGAGAAGCTCTCAGTGGCTGCATTTCAGTGACAGATGGGGCTGAAAGCACCAACCGGAGCCCCAGAGCAAAAGTGGTGGGTCCAGAGCAGAAGGCAAAACCAAAGAGCATACCACCACTCCAAGCTCTTCCCGCCAGTGAGCCAGCCTCTGGAGGCTTTTCAGCCCTGGGGGGGAGGGGGGGCACGGCACACAAGCCAGGAAGTTGCCAGGTGATCAGGGATTGGGGAAAAGCAAGGGGAGCCAGGGTGACAAGTGGCTTCCGGGAAGGCCTCAGGAGGCCCAGAAAGTGACCCCTGGACCTGAGGTCCCCCAGCCCTGGTTTCAGAGATAAACAACAGGCACAGAAGTACCTTTGCTGTCCACTGGAGCGGGCTGGCTTGGGCCAGCAGGCAATATCCTATCGTGATTACTGGGGTAGACAATACCGCTGACGTCGGCCTTCCTGCTGCTCATCATCCCGTTACACTTGGAAAGACCTTGACTGTTGGCTGCAGGTATTCGGTCATGCCTGCTGGACTCTTTGCCACTGGAAGCATTAGAAGGTGTACCCTCTGCAGGCCGAGGGCAATAATCTGGATCCTTGGGGTAAATGGTGACGCTCATGCTCTCGGTGCTGCCGCTGCAATCGGTGCATACAACTGGCAAGTTGTAATCTGGAGGTGGGGTGAGGCCCGAGGGAGAAAAAAGTTCCTGCATCAGTAGTGACTCTGGACACAGTCTGCGCCCGCCCGCGCAGAGGATCCGCGACCACGTGCGTTCTCTGTGAGGGCAGCCCTCTCAGTCCATTGTGCAAACATCACCCGCTGCTTGCACAGTGGAGACTTCGCAGACTGGGGACAAGCCTCAAAATCACCAGCAAGGCTCTGTTCTGGAAATGGGGGGCTGGTGGAGCTCCATCCTGGTGGTTCCACTGGCCTGCCCCATTCCAGATACACGCCTTTGCGCTTGTTGTGTTGCCTCAAGAAGCACTAAATCTCCATCAAGCAAGGGAAGCTGCCTGCAGAATATAATCCAGGGAAGGGGGCAGGTGCGGGGAGGCTGGCTCTGCATGCTTTTGACTTTGCTCCATGTTTCAGGCAGAAAGGGGGCCAGTGGCTGCATGGCCTGGCTTGTTTCCTGACATGTCAGGTCACTCCAGTCATTCCTCAGCATAGCTAAATTCAGGCCTATGCTGAATTCTATGGGAGCACAGAAAAGACAGAGAATTTGATACTGGCACATACTTTTGCTTCCAGAGGAGTTCTATTTACATTTTAAACAAAGAGCAAGCTTCTCTCCCCCATGACAGCAAATGCTCTCAAGTGTTTGCTCATTGCCTGGTGAGATTTCAGAAGCCAAAAGAGTTTTGGATACTATTTCCAGTCGAATGGAGTATCGTTCTCTGAATAGCTCACTTCCTTACAGCTAACAAAGTCAGTCGAAATCATGCAAAATAAACCATGCATTGTACTCAGTGTCCATAACTACACAGTTCACAGAATCCAGATTTTTGTGGTGCAGGCTACCATCAGCTCTTTATCTGCATGCTACTCTCTCCACCAAGATGGAATTCTGGACATGCAGAAGGGAGAAGAGCATGCTGGAGCTGAGAAGCAAGGGAAGTTTTCAAAATCTTTCTTCCTGCCAACCACTGTTAAAAGTGGCCTCCTTATTTGTCACACTTCAGAGGAGACCCAGTCTCTACCAGAGATCTTGTTCTGCTAAATTATTGTAAATCTTTACCCTTAATTTAAGTGTTGTGTTGTTCAGCTGTGTGCTAGAGAACTGCAGGCTGCCCCAGCTTTCAGCCAGAGCAGCTCCATGTTGCTATGGGTAGCAAACTGAAGTTCTTAAAGAGTTGCTTGCAACCAAAGAGCTGGCTAGCCTCGCCTAACACAAACCATAATTGGTTGTTGAACCAATCTGGACTACAATACAGTAATTCTCTTATGTAATGCCAAAAAAGGAAAGGGATATCAGCATAAGCATGAAGACTCCAGCATTACTCCTATTCCTGTTTTTTTAAGGGAGGGGGAACTACACGGGAGAACCTACCAAACAACTTGTGCTCGTTAAATTCCAACTACTAGATTTTTTTTGTACTAAGAAAACAGTTACAAATAAAATTTTTGGGAAAAAAAAGTTATGCAAGTCACATGCAACTAATCTGAAACAAGCACCTTTTACTAGAATAATTCTCTCTTGTGCTTTCTCTAAAGTCTAAAAAAGGCTGCCTTCATTTGCTGGTCATTTTTATGAGCAGAATTATTTCCAAACCCTTTCCTAGGGGGCTGGGCACTGACCTGTCTTGTCAGCAGCCAGCATCCTTTCAGCTATATCTTCTCCTTTCCAACCCTCCTTATTGTACCCTAAACACAGCTTTGGCTGTCGGTAGATGACTGGGTGAGCATCGGCTTCTGGATCCCGTCCTCCTTCAGGCTGGCAAACACCTGCAAGAGAACAACAAGGTGGCTACCTGGCTGCAGATACCGCAAGCAAGGAGATGTTCAGAGTATGAGATGTCAAAATTATGGAATAAAACCAGAGAGGTCCACACAACCAATCTGGTTCACTAGCCAACTTCACTGCAAACACCCTCTGTCTCCCAGTCTCTTGGCATGTTAAAAAAAAAAAGCTGCAGAAATCTTAACCCATCTGTTCCAGGCCCCTGGGACAGAGGTGCCCAAATGGTGCCGGTGGTACAGCACAAATGGCAGGACCACTGCTTTATGGCGCCTAAGAGTGGTGGGAAAGGAGTGATGGGGAAGGATGGCTGGGGCAGAGGACAGGGTGGCCTCCGTCCTCCCTGGGCCTTTCTGCCTGGGTTGCTGCTTGAGCGTGTGTGTCTGGGCACAGACACCCCAGGGCTGAAAAGGTGGTGCTGTTATTTGGGGCATGCCAAGAGCATTTCAAATATGGCAGGATTACAGCCCTGACAAGGCTGTAATGCCATGCTCTGCCTGGGTTTGCTGTGGGTGGCCTCTATGTTTGTGGGCCCAAGAAGCTCCGACAGGTCTCTGAGGGCTGTGCAAGCAGCCACCCCAACCTGTCCCCCCAAATTTATTCATCCCGCGTTCCACTGACACCTTGCTCTGCACATCCAAATGGACAGTATAATTAGGGATCTGCTGACAGGAAGAGCAGCAGGTGTGGGAGAAGGGTGGTCTTTGGGTCACAATGCAGTCTTTCCTCCAAAGGGAGGGAACGAAGGTTGCTTTTCCTGCAACCCTGTCGTCAGAAGTGGCAGGGACACAGGTACAAGGACTGAATGTTTTAAAGGTGGGTATGGATCCATATGGGCCTCATCAAGCAGCTTTAAACTGCGGCCACAACCATCAGAGTGAAACCTTTAAAAGCTACTGGTGTAACTGGCGCATTTGAGGCATTGATTTGATCAGCATGTGCACTTCTTCCCGCGCTACAACCGAAAGACCCTATTGCTGCATACCATACACCTGACTGACTACAAATCCTTTAATGTGGTTGAGTTCTGGAAGGGGGGTGGAAAGATGTATCCCTTTCCAGGAGGGCAGCTCCATGGAGCCAAGAACAATTTGCAAATGCTGAGCCGCTCTGGCAAGGACACTAACGGAGAGCTGCATAATGGCACGCCTCGGGATGCCCATACACACCTGCAACCATGCCTGTCTGCACAGGACAGAAACCTTCAGTCGTGTACTCCCCACTGCCTTGATGGGCTTTTCCCCCAGAGCATGCATTATATTCACCACGCCAAGTCAATAATTCCAAACAGTGAAGCTCTATCAAGTGCATATGGCTATGGCAGCAAAATCCCAAACGACACCCCTAAGAGATGCAAGCACATCCGCTCTGCAAGTGTTTCACTGGAACTGGGCTTTCTCTCCCTCTGTTCCACCAGAATTTTCAGGTTGATTTCCAAAGGCTGGTGAATTCCAGAACGGCCACTCAATGTTTGGAAGCAGTGACAACACCCCTGAAAAACCTGCGAGGATGCCACACACGCATGGTGGATGCTGCTACAGTCAAGGGAAGGAATGGTTTGGTTACCCATATTGTTAAGATCATCTACAGATTCAGAAAAATTACAGTGTAGAGTCCGTCATGACTTGTACTACATCCCAGAATAGAGTTTTTTAAATGTGCTCCATTGAAAGCAAAACAAAAACCGCAGGTAGAAAAATAGACAATTTAGAGGGAAAGATTCTAAGCCCAGCTCTTCTCTTGATACGCAGCTAGTTCTCTATGCCAGGGACGTTTATGCCATGGAAGAACATTTTAAAAACTCTCCCCAACCTTGAGTCTGATGCGGTATAGTTCAGGAAGGACTCTACCATGTGATTTTGCAGAATGTATGCTGTGTCTCTCTCCCTTAAGAAAAGCAAAATGAACACAGTAGAGTTCTTCCAAGCCATACCATTGCTCTGTATGTGCCCGTTGGGCTGCTGGCCATTTTCCACTGTGACCACCGACTCCTGTCGTTCAGAAAGGGTCCCCTGGGATGACAGATAGCTTGGCACATCAGGTGGGACAATGGTCTCATCTGGAAAGACAGGGAAATGAGACAAAGAAGGTGAAGGGCTGCTGCCATGGCACACGGCTGCCGCTGAAAGCAGAGAGGCACGGGGACAGTCGGTGCATCTGCTGCAGTCCAGGTCAGACCCAGACCCAGCTCGGGTTGTGTAAAACAAAGCACTCATTTGAACAACAGTCTGCCCACGGCTCCCTTTATTGTCTTAATTCCTACAGAGAATCTCTCGCTGCTGCTTGTTCCTTCCCCTTAGCCACACATTCTCTAACCTGCTGGCTGGTGCTCCACAAACCACCTTTACAGTCTCCTCTCCATGCCAGCCCTGAAAGCATTCAGTTATCCTCTAATTCAGCATTCCCCAGACTGGCGCCCTCTGGATGCTTTGGACGTCATTCCCTATCAACCCCAACCCACCAGTATATATTCCAAAACAGCCAGAGGTAAGAGACAGAGGAAGCCAACACTACTCAAGCAGATTCTCTCTCTCTCTTTCATAATTACATCCCACATTTTTTCCTTCCAAGGAACTCTACATCCTCCTCCTCCTCCTCCTCCTCCTCCTCCTCCTCATCCTCCTCACCACCCCCAGCCTTGCAGCAACAACCCTGTGAGCCTGGCCTGAGAGTCTGCGACTGGCCCAAAGTCATCCCATGAGCTCCTTGGCTGAGCCGGGACTAGAGCCCAAGATGCCGGAGCCCCAGTCCTGCGCTCTTAACCACTGCGCCACGCTGGCTCTCTAGAAATGATCACACCACTTGGTCCTAAGGCCTCCCCACCTCAGCTTTTCACGAACAAACGTAATGAAGGCTGGCAATGTTTGGAGGTTGTGTTAACCAGCAGCCTCTCTTGGGGCCCCAGAAAGTGTGGCTCAAGCTTGGAAAGGGGCAGCCTGTGAAAAAGAAGAGTCTGCCCTGAACTCTCACAGCACGGAGAATTAACACAAACGGAGAAGGCACAAAAATGTGCTGCGCATCTTCCTCGCAGGAGGCTGGGTCTTTACCCAGCGGCCCAGTCATGAAGGCGTTTCTATCAGGGACTCCACATGCCTTTATTAACGTGGGTGACATTTCAAGAGCAAGAACTCTTGCCTGAAACCAAATAATTGGAGTTTTATTACAGTACACACAATCAGAAACTTTAGTTTACTGATTTCGTTTTATAATTTAGTGCAGAAGTCACCAATGCAGTGCCAAGTGCCCACAGGGGCCTCCAGTAACGCTGGTGAGGTTTTCTGCTCCCTGCCCGCTTCAAAAATTTATTCTTAATTTTAAAACCCTTTGAAATGTGTCATGATGCCAAGTTCTCCTTCCCGCCCCTGGTCTGCTGCCAATCAGCCATTTGCCTGGTAAATGGGAAAGGCAGGAGTTGCCTCCTGGCCCCACCCCCCTTCCTTCCACCCATGCCAACCTTTCTCCTGGGATCGCACCCTCCCAGCCTCCGATGGTGCTACTTTTCCTCCCTTGCCATACACACTGTTTTGGCTCATGCTTTCCGTCCCATCCCAGCACCCAGCCTCTCTCCCCGCTACCCCTTGCCTTGCGGTTTCCCCACTCTCAACCTCAAGCCCTGCTACACGCCCCCCAACATACACCTCTTTATCCCCCTGCTTCTTGCATTCCTTGCTTTCAGCTTGCTTTCTCTTCACAACTTCCTCTTCCTCCCAGCTCCCAATATTTGTCTTTCTCCTTCCCAGGCAAGGCCTTTCACTCTCGCCACACACAAACACAGGAGAAGACAGGAAGGGCAGAATGGCTGAGCCTCGGGCAGATGCAGGAAGGGGTCTTTGTTAACAGCGACTGGCTGATGAGGACATATTATGCCACTCATCTTCCAGCTACACTGGCTGCCAGTTGAAGTCCGGGCCCGATTCCAAGTGCTAGTATTAACATTCAAAGCCTTCAGTGCTTTGGGGCCAGGTTATCTGATGGAACACGTCATCCCGTATGTACCTACTGGACCCTGAGGTAACCTTCAGGGGTCCTTCTCCAGGAGTGCCCTCCAAAGGAAGTCAGGCAGGTGGCTACCAAGAAGAGGGCCTTTTCGGGTGCGGCACCCCAGCTGTGGAATGAGCTCCACAAAGTGGTGCACCTGGCACCTACTCTATTCTTTTTGGCACCAGATGAAAACTTTTTTATTTTTCCAATATTTTAACAATTAACTTTTAGACTTTAGTTACAATACTGGATTATATGCTGATTTGGTTGCAATGGCCATGGTTTAATTATGTTAATTTTTTTCTTGCTTGTTTTTAACTTTTGTTAACCGCCCAGAAAGCCTGGGCTACCAGGCAGCATATAAACAAACAAACCAACCATCTTCCCTTTGGGGGACTAAAAAAGATGTGTACAGAATGTGCACAACAACTGATATATCTATTCAGAAGTAACTCCTATTGATTTGCATGTGAGCATTCATAGGACCTCAACCTTAAATGAGTCTTCTGTTGGTGCTTCTGTGGGATCAAACATGTACATTCACTTTGAAGTTCAGGCCCCTCTTCTGCTTGCACTCAAATTTCTTGAGAGAGAGTCACTTGTCCTTTGGACGCCACTGTGTGTCATCCTCTGTGGGGGCCAATTTAGTGGTAGCATGTCCAGCAGTTTCTCAAATCCACAAACATGCAACAACAAACGTGCAAAAGGTTGGGGACCCCTGGCTTACTAACGCTACTGTACAATATGCGGTCTGGGTAGTTCTGTTGAATTTGGTCATTCTGAGATGGGACAATCATGGCTTTGGAGAAGGCCCTCTTCTTGGTCAACAGGCCAGTGTCTCAGGCAGGGAAGACACCTAAAGGAGGGACCTCTCCTCAGCTCCCAAACCAGCTCTGCTGGCTTAGCAGAGAGCAAGTTTCTGGAACGGCTTGTAGCTAAGCTGTTGTGCCACTGTCTGAATTTTACTTCAGCAGGTTACTCCTTTTATGGGAAAGCCGCAAAAGCAGGGAGGCAGACCATACTTCTGTGGCTCCCTGAACCAGGAGGGCAAGCACTTTCCTGAGGAGAGAAGAATGATCCGAAGAAGGGGCAACCTTCTCAGCTGGAGAGCGGGACTCCAAGAGTGTGGTGGCCATGATTCAGGGCACGCCGAATTCCTGGGGCACATGTGATGTGGTAAAGAACAGGGCAAGCCCATAAGCAGTACAAGCCATTGGCAACACTGCTCAGATGAGCCTGTTGCACTTGCAGAAAGTAGGCTACAGCTCCGTGACAGAGTACAGGCGCTTGTGCCGGCTCCTCTCAGAACCCTGGGAGAGCTGCTGCCACTCAAGGTGGACAACACTGAGCTAGGCAGACCAACGGCCTGACCTGTGTGTAGCATCATCCTGTTTGATTAATTAATACTGTGTATGTACCATTAATTGAATAAAATCCCTAAGCAGCCTGTATATCAGTATTAAAAAACACACTGAAAAAGCCCGGGTTTGCTAGGGGTAGAAAGTACACCTGGAAGGCTGCAGTAGCATCGCACAGCCAGGCTTCAGAGAGAGGAGTCCTCCTTGCGCAGCGTTCCATTAATCCAAAGCAGACCCTGGTCCTACCTGTGTTTGTGACACTGTATTCTTCGCTCTTTTTTCTGGTTTGATAGATGATGCACACCCAGACGATGGACGTCAGCACGATGCTGCCCACAACAGCAATAGTGATAATCCCAACGGTGGTGCCATCCTTCCGGCACCCGAGCGAAGGCAGCACGCTGACGTGACTGTGTGCCCGTTCCGTCCCAACCGTGTTGGAGATTTCACAGGTGTATTTCCCGGCATCCTCCACCACAACATTCCGGACAATAAGCAACTGGTTGCCTGGAGTGAAGTGATGCCTATCAGTGACTACCAGAGACTGGTCGCCCTTCAGCCAGTTGATGCGCGGAGGGGGACTGCCTGTCGCCTTACACTGCAGAACCACCGTCTCACCCACAGACACGACGCGATCCTCCAGGGGGTGAACCAAGCTTGGTGTCTCTGCAGAAATCCAGAAAGAAGTGTTAGCCTGAAGATGTTTTGTGCTGCTGCTGCTGCTGCAGCAAAACCCATTGGCTTTAGAAGGATACCAACAGCAGAGGCCTGAAAGTCAACCTGTGGTTAAGAAAGACTCCTTGTGGCACCCCGTCAGTTCTGGGCTGCACGCTGCCTTTCCTTGGACCAAACAGCCAGCTGAAACTCTCCAGTGCAAAGACGGAGGGTTTCCACTTCTCTCAAAGAAATGCTCGGTTGCTGGTATGTACAAAGGCGTACGTGTTTCAATGTGTGCAAACATATTATGTGCACTAACGGAGATGCCAATGAGGCACACCTCTAGTGCATTTGCACATGTTCCCAGGTTCATCCCATGTTGCAAGGACAGCCAAACTTTTGCTAAATACATTCAAAGGGGCCATATCCAATCCAGAAGCTCTTATGCTGTCATCCCAAACCATCTGGGGTAGTCAAATATCCCCGCAATCTACCCACCCACCCAGAGTTAGCTAATGCAGGTTCTGCCTTTCTCCTCTCTCTCTCTTCCCATCCATATTTAAGAAACTGAATAAAGCTTGGGCAGCACATTGTGGGCCGCTTCCTCCTAACCCAATCACATCAGTACTCCTGTGGGAGAATGTGGTGCCCCACTTCTTTGCCCTGTGTTAGCAAGGAAAACTCGCTTCTCAGCAGGAATTACAAGGGTTAGCTTGCTACAGGAAGAGGAATTGTATGGCTTAATTTCTTCTGAAACATAGTCCATTCATTGTTTATTCTTGATAAAAGATTACTTTTTCCAACCTTCCAAAGAATGAGTTTCATAATGTAATCTCAGAGCACAGTGCTGGCAGCCTCTCCTCCTCCACAAAGGAAGCAAATTTCCTCACCTAGCACTGTCAGGGTTGCATTTGCTGACACAGAGCCAGCAGAATTCTGTGCAGTGCAGCTATAAATGCCCATGTCCTCAATCTTCACGTCTGTGATGAAGAAGACGTCATCATCGGGCATGACATGCATCCGTCGCTCACGAGCTGCAGGGAAGTCAGTGCCTCCATCCTTCTGCCAAGCAATTTGTGGGGTGGGGTGACCACCAGCAGCACACTCCAGCCGAGCTGTTGTCCCTGTCCGGGCTGCAATGTCATGGGGAGTTTTGAGGAATGATGGCAGCACTGCGAGGAGCAAGGAGAATGACAATCACAAAAGCTCCTGAAGAACCCTGGCCCGTTTTCCAAGGGTCAAAGAGCTCTCCCACCCCAGCCTTCGCGACAGAATGCGTCTTTTCTGGCACTACCAGGATGCGAGAGCCATGCCCTATTTAATTTCTTTCATGGAATTGCACCACAACAGACACTGAGTTGGCTTGCTTCGAGTGTTTCATTTTGGTTACTCAGTACTACTTTTGCTTGTCCCAGACTGAAGACACTGCATAAGAGTCATGAAAAGTACTCTGCTGGAATTATGGGAGAAGACCATGGAATGGTTGGGAGGGAGAGATCTCCAGGCTGCTTGCAGCTCATAGCCAAGCAATCCTCTGAAGGCACGGGAATCCCTGCTGTTGCACCGATGCTTTTGTGGTGCAAGCCAGTCACCATCCCAGTCCAAGCTGATAACTGAGAGCTCATTAGGTTTAAGGCCCTTGCTCATGATTTGTGGCTAGTCCCTTATTTTCTGAACACAATGCAGCTTGTGGGGAGTCCCTGATCCTACTGACTGTGGACAAGATTTTATTACTCTGTTAAGCTGCTCCCACTGTGACTGCCTTCTAGCCACACCCGATCTAGCTCTTGAACCAACACGTACACTGCTGAACCACTGCAACTTCCTAAATGTGAATCGTGATTTTTAAAATTCTGCATGAATCCAAGGATTTCTGTATTTTGCATTAATTGACATGATTGCTCTGTGTTCCTGGGAATGGAAACCAACTAAAAGTACAAGTCAAAGACTATTAGGACAGAAAATCTGTACTACAAGGGCTTTTTCTGTGATACCCCACATCACAGCAAGCTCTTTGATCTGGCTTTTAGCCTGGTAACTCTGCTTTAATGGCACAGTGGTGCTGTTTATTTAAAAAGCTACCTTTTGGAAGAGAAAATCCAGACATAATTGTTTGTAAAAGAGGGCCTTTTCTGCTCGAGCACCCCAGTTGTGGAAGGAGCTTCCCAGAGAAGCTTGCCTGGCACCTATGCAGTGCTTTTCTGGGGCCAGGTGAACACTTTATTTTCCCACATATTGTAGCCTTTGGGTTCTGTTGTTTCAAACCTGTTACTGTATTCTTTTTGCACTGCCAAAAGATTTGTGTTGGTTTTCTATTTTTATATTTTATACTACAGTTTTATGCTTCAAAACTTTTATGTTGCATTTTATCAGGTTGTAATTTATGTTTTTTATTGCTGTGAACTGTCCAGAAACCTTCAGCAACAGGACAGCATAGAAATGCAATAAATAAATATTTCATACACAGTTGGGCATGTAACACATTTTGTGTGTTCTCACAATTAAAAACATTCCCCCTTGATGATAAGGACTGACATGTTTAACTGAATATTTAGCTGAGAAATTTTAAGTAACTGGCCAGGAAAGGTGGGCGCCTGCCACACTACCTGAATGTTATAAAGCCCTGTAATCTTCACTAACACAGAATCTACCAATAACAATAGCTGTAGCTTTGGGAAGGGTGACATTAACAATCCCCTTGACTTGAACTGTGCAAATCCAAGATGTTTTCAGCATTCCGTGGACACTGAAACTTTGTAATGGCAACTCAGTGTGAAGTCAGCTTTCAACATACAGGTGTCAGCATTTTAGTTTTGCTGCCTTGTCAGTTCTGTCCATAGGAAGAACAACTCATGTTTGATAGACATGTGTGCAGCAGAGTTTTGAAGACATCAAGTGGCCCTCAACACTTCAGAGGAAAGCAGACCAACCCTAACATTTGTGGATGCTCCCCTGACATAAAAGAAGATGACTGACTAGTAGGAGGTGGGAGAGAAGAAAACATTTCTCCCCACTATGCTAGTTTTCTTCTGGTGGGTATTTAAAAAAAATCAGGAAGCATTTTGGGGTGGCACCCGAGACCCTGCAGTTCCAGACTTTGCCACTTCATTCTGCCAGATATGTAGATACAGCAAGCCTTATAACTGGCCCCTGAAGCACTCTTTCCTGTGAAATGTCAGCATCAGAATTAAAATGCAGGACCTCCAAAAGGAAAGTTTTGCAATTAACTTTTTAACAAAGGAAGGTGGCACTATGGCATGGGGGAAAATGCAGAACAGTGGAAATCTGTATTTATACAACTAGCCTGATGCATTTCAGATCTTGCCATGTCATCTGGGGAATGATGCTTACAGGTAGGCACCCTTACACTTTGGGCACGCAAGTTTGCAAAACAGTAATATTGTTGTTTGCATCACTTTGGAGTCTTCCTCCCTTTTTATCCCTGGACTAAAAACTTAACCTCTAGGAATATGCCATTTAGATGGCTGAAAACAGCCATGAAAATCTGGGTGCCACAATGCAGGTTAGTTTTCAAGGCCTGGTTGTGACACTCTCCTGCCTCACTCACCATTCACAGTCAGTTGGGCTTTGTGAGAATAGGTGGAGCCGAAATGGTTGGTAATTATGCACTGGTAGCGCCCCTCATGATTGAAGGTGACGTGGCGCAGGTGCAGAATGGTGGTGTACTCTATCACCACGCCATCTCTTGCCCGGACGTGAGCAAAGTTCTCCATCTCAGCATGATGCAGGATTTCATTGTCCTTCTTCCAGGCAAAGGTCATGGGGGAACTGCTGCTGCTTGCGGCTGAGCAGGTGAAGCGGATGTTCTTCCCCAGAACAGCCATCGTCGTTTCTGGCTCAACAATGATCTTGGGCTTGGGGAAATCCTCTGAAAAACAGTCCAAAAGTGTTTCCACTTTAGAAAGATGCCACAGCTGCACACAATCCTATCTCACCTCCTTTGAAAGATCACCTTTCTTCTGTTGGCTGGTGCTAAGCTACTTCAGGTACATTTCTTGCTGTTCAAATGCAGCGATAGGCTTCCCACTCCCATCCCACGAAAGAATGTTTACCTTGAGTGTCTACCTGACATTTTCTCCCTCCATGTAGTTACACTTGGCTATAACACTAAACTCAAAACCCTTGGTTTTTGCAAGCCTGCTATTGCCTGTTCCCCACAATCACCAAAATAACCCCTATTTGCATGCAAAGCCTGGAAGAAACCTACCATTTTCTGGATGTATACCATAAAATGTGAACCATGGGATAATCTGGTATAAGCAGAACAGATATACTCAAACTGAAGCATAAGGCAAAAATCTATAAATCCACTGGGTAGAAGAAACTAATGCTTTCTGGTGACTCATCAATGTTCCATCTGGCTAATTTATTTTAGTGAGGAAAAGAATTCCAAGGTATGCAGAAAAATATGACAGACAATTTGTTAAGAGTTACAGCAACTGTTGCAATTAATGTCACCGGTGACAAGTGCTGACAGGCAGGAACTGCATCCTGGCACAAAGAACCAGCAGGAATGACAGATGTATCTGTTTGTCACCCTTCCAAAACGAGGACTTGTGCTCTTGGGGCCTGACAGTGAAGGCTATTAGCAACTTAATTTGTTAGTCACACAAAAAGCATCTCTGCATTTAGTGTAAAACATCCCGCATGCTCCAAAAGCACAGGCATTCCAGCAGAAAGGAAAAACTCAGACAGACAGATCGCCACCAAATTATGTTCAGATTTACAGAACATAAATCTGTTTTGTATGCTAAGATATTCAAGCCAGATTGAGAGCCAATCCAGAACATGGAGAAACAAACAATACTGTATTTTTATTGAACTGCAGACTTCCAGAGTGCAGGTGGGAAACTTGCACATGGAAGGCCAGCATGTCGAACCGAAGCATTTTATTCCAGGCGTTGTCCCAACATCTTGGCATTCCCCCGGAAGGGAGGCAAGGGACAGTCAGACATGAAACGCACCACCTGCCGTTTGCTATCATGCAGCCAGAAGAGCTGCCTTGAGGGAACAGCAATGGGTACAGTAGATGCATTTCAAGTTTTGGCCCACACCTCCTACCATGCATTCTTCATGGGAGGGGAGCTGGGTGGCTGCAATTGGCTGGCAAATGACACTATGAGCTTGACAGTCCCAAAGTCTCTTATTGTGGTGGGAGCTGACACAATCCCCCTCTGCAGAGTGAGCATTTCTTTTTTAAAAAAATAATTGTTCATTGATGTCTTAAAATAGACAGGATACAGAAAGAAAAAGGGTTTAAGGAAAAAAGTGAAATAAAATTATCAAGGGATTTTAAACAAATATAATGAATACATTCATAATCTGCAAGAAACCAAACATTTCTATCTGTCAATCATATTAATTATATTGACTATAACAGACTTTCCCTTTATCATTAAATTCTTCATTCGGTCTTCTGTTTACATCATTAGTTAATTTTGCCATCACTGCTTACTCTGCCAACTTATTTTTCCAATCCTCAGGTGTTGGGCATTCTGGTGTTTAGAACCAATTGTAATTCTTACAGCAGTTGTCATCTATTTGACTAACTCTGATATGTTCTTTGAAAAAGTCTCTAGCATTACGTTCAAAAGCATATTCTTAGGACTCACAGGAAACTTAGTTTTAAAGGTTTTTTGTATTTCCGCATGTATCAACTTACAAAAACTTTTAATTATTTCACAAGTCCTCCACAGATGGTAGGACATCCCATCTACTTTATTGGGAGAGTATTTTTTTAGTCTTCTAGAAGTGAAATAACTAGAGCTTGCAAGGAAGAAAGAAACAAACAAACCCACCCTATTTGACCAACTCTCTGACCCCAAACAGGCACATCCAAAGGACGTGGACATCATGGGATACACGCTGTGCCCCAACAAGCGTTTTACTCTTACGATATTCATCAAGGCAGAAGCAACACTGTCTAGTCAGAGAAAAATTGATACTGAAACCCTGCCCAAGGGTTACAGCAGTCCTGGACACCGTTGCCAGGCAGTCTCCCAAATCTATATTCCTCTGTGCTAGCCAAGACTAGAAAGGACGTCCACATCGCAGCTGAGGTGCAGAGCTCTGGAGCTCTTTATTAGGTCCTCAGTTCTTGCCGCTGGGAAGTGCAACACCTGTTTGTGAGTTTCATGGTTCGGTTTCCCAACCTGCTCAGCTGCTGTTGCTCTCCTCAGCAGAGAATGACCTTAACTTCACGCAGTCAGCAAGGTGTGGTTGCAACCACTGATTACTATGGTGGGTAGGACTGTGGCATTATCTGGGTTGCTGGCTATGGATTTCCTAATCATCTTTAACACACACACAGAGCTGGAGGATGACATCATCCAAGCAGCCGAGATGTTCCTGCATTCTGAGCAGGTGTTGGTCTATTTGGGCTTGTCTGACTGTGGCATCAAACATGATCATACTCGAATGAGATGGACAGATTATGCTTCCAACAGAACAGAGGGACCGCTCTGATGTGGTTACTCTGCTTGCAAAGCTAGCAACGAATGATGGCAGGTTCAATTCCCCTTTAACAAACAAAGTGAGCCAAATTAAAATGTTTCTAGAAATAAGGAACTGTTCTGAGTGAGAGGAGGGAAGTAACTTTGGACCTGGCTCTAAACTTTTAAACTATTCCATTTTAAAGGCAAAAAATGGTTATGCACTTGTGCATTCAGCTGTTTTGGATTTAACATGCTAATATGTAATTTGTTCCCTGAACCAGCAGCATAGAAAAGGCTCAGAAAAGACTGAGTGGAAGAAAAATGTGAGATTATTTCAAACACCCCTGTAATATTTCCTATTTAAAAACAACAACAACAAAACCAACTCTCAGTAGACCTTCCTATGCAATATATGAGAGGCAGGGAATCTGGGGACCACTATGCACTGTCGGGCTTCAAGTCTCATTAGTCTGAGAAGAATGATGAGATCTGTAATCCAACAGCTGGAGGACCACAGCTTTCTCACTTCTGTCTTATAGCAAATGCAGTATTGAGAGTCTTCATAAGTTACAATTTAAGTAAATACAGTGAGTGGCTGGGATTCAGATCAGAATCACATTCAAATTAATTTTCACTTGTCATATTCTGCTAATTTCCTTTCTATTTAAGTACACAGCAAAGACGAAGATGGCTTAAAAGCCAGGAAAAATGGATCCACAGTCAAAAGAGCAAGCAAGATCAGTGAGGTGAGCTAAAGATAAAACTCCAGAGGTATCCCACCACATGCTGTGAATGACTCAATTCATATGTGACACTAGCCCCATGGTTTATTAAACTGATGATAACAAGGTTTGCCTGGCAAATGTTCAAACAAACCATGGCTTGTTTCTCAATCCTTGGATTTTTTGTTTCCCTTCTCCTTCAGCTGCTCCCTTCCTGTAGCCCAGCTGCTTTTGTGGTACTGCAGCACTCCCATGCAGAGTTGCTTTTTTTAACTGCTCTATTCCACTGCCTTTTGAGATTGCCAAAATGATCCATGACCAATACACAGTTCTGGGTTCATACATATTGACAACCCATAGTGTAAACAATCCATAAATCATAACCCAACAACATGGATCTCTTTCTGGCCATCTTGGTTTGTTAGCATGGCTGGGTTCACACAGTGCAACCACCCAGAATTCAACAACTCAGAACATAGATTAGCTAGTTTTATATGTGAACCCAGCCAACATGACTTACAGGTTTGACAAGAAATCAACCCTGCCCAGTGATGACTGCAAGCATGCGAAGGGGGTGTGCAGCTCCACAACAGGCAAAAGAATGAGCTGGCCACAAAGTACAGACACATTCTTGGGTAAGGGCTGCCCTCCAAACTAACCTCAAGATTTCCAGGCTACAGCCAACACTTACCACACACAAAATTTTCTGGCACCACATCGAAAATGCTTCTGCCCTTTAATGACTCTGGGTGGGCACAGGTACCTTCCACAAATGGCTGCAGTTCCTTCTTGGTTAACCACAGCGGCAACCACTTGAGCTGACAATCACACAGGAAACTCTCGCTATTTATGTGGCTGGAGGGAAACAAACAAAATGCAAAGAGTATTTTTTTCTGTGGAACTTAAAAGGGGTTTTAAAGTATTTGCATCCTTGCACAAGTTTCTGCTTTCAGCATGGTAAACAAAATGCTGCACTTGGACTGGCCAGTCAACAACCACTGAATAGATGTGACTTTGTTCCAGGGGCTGGATCTGGATCTAAGTTGGATCAACAGTGCTGGGAGAAGGTGGCTTCCCTGTCCCCATGAAAATGCCTCTCAAAGCCAGGAGCTCTTGCTGAATGGTGTAAAATGTGATGGGGGCATCCCACAAAGAGAAGTGGAGGTCACTCCTCAAGCAGAAAGGCCTTTCCCTTTATCAGAAGGCAAACAAATACTGGCTCCAGTCTCTTGCTCATGAACAGTCATTTGGATGGCCACTAGTATGAGCTGCCTCCAAGCAACTAGGCAGTAACCTCTTGTAAACTGGAGAAGCTAGTTGCTTCTTTCGGGTCACCCATGCATCATGAAGGACGTCGGTGGATGTGGGTTAAAAAAGATTTTGCTGGCTAATGACATTTAACTTAATTGGAAGAGTGCAACTTAAGAGAGCATAAGTCCACTAAACAATACCATGTACTAAGCAAATATCTTTGAATACAGTGCCCACCCACAAATTAAATGAACCAGGCCCACACCAGCTGCAGCGCATTTTGTCCTATAAATATCAGATATATATTTTGCAGCAAATTAAAACTGGATGGCCCTCACTTTACATTCCAAGATTAAGGTGGACATTACCACTGAAGAAATAAGCTGGTTCGGTAGGACAGTAAAGGACGATTTATTTAACACTGCACTGTGGGAATCTCTGAAGCCAAGCATTCCAAATAATTGTGCAACAGAAATATTGGGTGACAGCTTACACCTGAAAGGTCTAGAGATTATACAAAATAAGCCTGACACTGACAAAGTAGACAGCCTTGTTGGATCAGCCAAAGGGCCCAACTAATCCAACTTTTTCTTTACCACAGCAGTTAGCCTGGGAAGCTTTCGAGCAAGGCACGCAGCAGTAGCCCTTTCCCAGTGCTGCTCCCGGGCAGCTGACAGCCCGTGTCAAGGCCAGGCATGGTGGGGAACTGCTGGAGCTGCACCCCACCCCCCAGCAGGGGCCGGCTGGCAAGAGTCCCTGGAGTTGCTCCTCTTACTTAGCCATGGCAGTCTGCTTGCTCAGCTGCCTTTCAGGCTGGCCCAGGCCACAGGGACGGTGAGGAGCAGCAGAAGATGCCACAGCTCGCTTGCTCACTGGCCAAGCAAGCAAGGGGCAGCAGTGATGAGAACGCAGGTGAGAAGCACGTACACTTATTGATGGAGGGGTCCATTGATGGTGTCTTGCTCAAGGGCCCCCTAAAACCTGGACATGGCACCCTGGCATATGGCCGCTGAGCACCTCCCATGACTAACAGCAATCCATTGACATATCCTCTGTGAATGCCAAGCATCCTCTGGCCACCATTCCATAAATGACTTACTTACTTGGGCAGGAGCTACTGCAGTACCTTGAATGGACAGGAATGTGTCCTCTGCCTCAGCTAAGTTTATATATCTGATGTTCAATTACTGCTTTTGAATGCTTACTACATGGATCGTAGGAAACAGATTCTGGATAATCATAAACTTTCTGCTTGGAAAGCAATCTAAGAAATTTAGTTCCTGGGTATCAAAGCACCACTAAAACATCTGAACAGCAAACTTTTTTGGAGGGGGGGCAGGGGATGGAAAGCATCTCAGGACAGGATGTTTGCTACTTAGTGGCCTGGGACTAAGTGGGTACAAGGACCAAATTTAACACCTGTATATTATGAAAGTGGCAGTACACCTGCAAAGTAGATATAAAAGGAAAGGCAGCTTTGCCAGCAGAAATTCAGTAAGTAGCTGAATGTTCTGCAAGACTAGAGAAAGGGAGTCCAGCTTTCCCAAGCAAAGACAGATAAGGGCACAGATGCAGCCCAATGAAAGAAGCTGCAGAGAAGATCCAATTTCACTCATTACTAAATGTGAGAGAAGTCTCTGGCATCTGCTCTACTGTAAAAATAGCTTGCAGGGGTGGCAAGTGAGGAGCAGCAATTGTAGGACGTGGCGGTGGTGGAAACAGCCACTGGGGGGAATATGTGTCTCAACGATGGTTCAAAGCTATGGGGTAGAATAGTCGCCCTATTACTTACAGCTTCTTCAGATGCTTCAGCTTGGCAAATGCATCCTCCTGAACAGACCGTATGGCATTGTCTCCAAGGTTTCTATAAAAAAGAAATGCATTTTTCTCCTTTTAACACACACAAATGCACACCCATCCATGTACAGGGTCTGAACCAGTCTAAAATGTTTATATTGGTTTATGGCTCTGCATACCTTCAGAACATTTTGCATTCATAATAAGGAAATTCTGTGCACAATGAAAAAGCAGAGGCCTGACATGCAATGCTAAGGTTACCAGCATGAGCCACTGTGAACCCAAGTGCACTCGCCGGCTTTGCTGGGCACGGTTAACAAAGAGCCCTGCCGGAAACCCCGAAGAGCTGCTGCCAGTCAGTGTGAACATCATTGAGCTGACGCAGGACAGGGCAGCTCCCTGTGTTCCCCTTCTCCAGCACAGCTTCCATTTCAGGGTAACTGTGGCAGGTTGTGACATCTAAGTCCAAACAAACCACTTCAGTCTTAAGATTAAAGTTAACTGATAATGCTGGATTGTTTTCACTAACTACAGTTAAAATGAATCAAAGTTTAATTATACAACTCTAGTGCTGTTAGTTTGAAAGAGAGTCTAAGGCTTCTGCAGCTCACCCTGTTCATAGCATTATGGGTTATGTCTTCGTGTTAAGTATGAATGGGACCACTGTGCCATCAGAATGAGGATACTGCTTTATACCAAGCAAGACCTTGGTCCACCCAGCTCAGAGGAGCAGACAATGACAGGCAGGGCCATCTGGGATTTACCTGAGGCACAATTCTTGCATAGCCCTACCAAGAGAAAGTATGTGCTCTACCACTGAGCTGCAGTCCTTTGCTGCACTCATCATGATTTGCAGGCACAAGTAAAATCTCTTGTGTCCCCTAGTCCTAAATGTTCAGCAAAACTGACAGCAGCTTAAACTATCTAGGGTATACTTGCAGGTGTCAACACTTCTGATCTGGGCAGATTGTAAGAAGAAGGGAAAGAGAATTTTATAGCCAAAAAGAAAAGAAAAATCCAGAGGCTGCTTAAGGGAACATACAAGCTTGTTATTTTCGCAGTACAACTGTCAGCTGAGCTGCCATGTGTAAAAGCAACCTTTATTTAAATATGCATACATTTGCACATGAGTAAAAGTAATGCTTCTACTGTACACTTTGGTATGATCTACTCCAGTAGATTAGCATGGCAAGTGCACAGAAGAGTCGCACGGCCTCTTTAGAGTCTTGTCCCAATGTGAAGAGGCATTAAGGTGAGTGTAGGCTCCACACTTACCTTCTATACTCCCAATCCAGGTCGCCTACGCTGTGCTCTGTTCAAAGCAAGTTATGGATGCTCAAGAGCATGAGTAACTTGGATTGAGGTTAGAGAAACACTAGATGGGGATATTGGAGGTACATGCAGAAAGACTATGAAGGAGGAAATCAGGGCTCTGTTGAGCTGATGAGAATTCCTTGCATGCAAGCATTCCACCCACTACTGACTGGATCATGTTTGAATATATTCATAGAAGGTATAACATTAAAGAAGTATTCTTTCTTGCAGGAACAAGGAATGGCTCCTCTAAGAGGATGCTTGGCATCTCCATATTTTAAAACTACTTGTATACAAAACCAGTTTTTCTTTAAAAAAAACACAAAAACCCTTCTGTCCCTTAACAAGGGACACTTAAGGTTTTTTTAATTTAATGAATTTATTGTCTATTTGTGCTGTCCCTAATGCCAACAGCATGAGACACAGTGGAGGGGAGAGACTAATGTATGGAATTGAAACTGCTCTTTTTAAAAAGCTTTAGACTACAAAATGGCAGTATAAAAATCCGTATTATTTGCAGAAATGAAGGCAGTGCAAAAGAACACACTATCCCCTCAGTGTTGCCCACAAGTTCAGCCTGCCCTGTTGTGGGTTCATTTCAAGCAGTAAGAGATGCCAACCACCAAAGCAGTGCTGCACCCTTCACTCTGCTAGCAAAAGCAGCGGCAGGACTCTCATCTGCTAATGGAGTCGCTCTCCCATTGCTTTTTGCACATATAAAATTTAGGCCCAGGTGGAAAGGAAGAAGGGAACAAAGGATACTATTCCAAGACACTGGGAAAGGAAGAACAGAATGTGGGAGCAAGGGAATATTTCCCATTAGATTAGAATTTTGGTTACGCCTCTGTGCAAGTCAGATATACTCCTTTGTATATTAAAGAAAAATTAAGAGCATGCAAATTGGCCATGTGTTCTATAACTTTCCTCCTGGCAGAAAAAAAGCCAAAGTTGGCGCTGACTTATAATGAGAAGGAAGCAGCTGGCCCTCACAAATGGACTGGCTTCTCAGCTTACAAAGATGCTATTAAATTGCTTGCAGGCCTTTCCAGCAGCCACTTCTGGCAGGCTTCCCCTCTCCCACCCAGCCACTTCTCTTCAGGACTGCAAAGCATTGTGGGTTACTCACAGGTGTTCCAGGGCCTCCAAGCCTGAGAACGCCTCCTTGGCCACAGACTTGATCTTGTTTCCAAACAGAGTTCTGCAGTTTCCAAACACCCAGCGTCAGATAACCAATGGAAGAAGGGGTGGGGGGAGCAGAAGAAAAGAAAATGAAAAGACCCCAATTAGTGTGGCTGTATCTGTTGAAACATCCCCATGTAAGGCTCTGGATATATGAGCTGTAGAGATTAAGGGAGCTGAAGTATGTGTACTCTCTCCCTTTCCCTGAAATTAAATACTTTTATCTTTATTAGAACTTAATAGTGATGATAGCTTTACACAGGACACTCTGTACTGCGTTAAGAAATGCAGGTTTGCTTTGGTTACTGGGGAAAAGGAGTTGGAGTAGGAGCTGACCTTCACTTATCAGACAGAACACAGTTTACGTGAGACACTGGACTCACTTCAACACATCTTACTGATCTTTTCGCAGTTGGTAATAAAATGGCTCACAAGCCAAACCATTAATTCTCTGACAATCATCTGAGGTTTCTGGACTTCCATATTCCAGGGGGGTGGGAGCGGGGTAGCAGCTTTTTTTGAAGCACAACAAGTTTGGGTGAAGTCTCCAATGGCCAAGGGCCAGGCTATCTTAATGATGCATATTACTCTTTCTACCTCTGTAGAAAGAAATTGTATTTGTTAAGCACTGAAAACAGATGCTCCAAATAAAGTTCTCTGTGTTCCATCCATGCTTGCAATCTGTTAGGAAAATACCTGGCAAAAACAGCCCATGCATTCCACTGTCACTACCACCCTCAGCAGCTTAGCAGCATAATAGTCCGTGATTATTTGGCAGCTAAACACGGATTTCTGTGGCCACAGTGCACAGAATGTGGAAGTGCTTTTAGGCAGAGAAATTTTCCAGTGCATAGCCATTAATTCACTTGCTATCTGCAGATGAGCAATCACTTCCCAACAGAACCAGTGCCGGTGCCAAGATGGGATTCTGTACCTTTTTAGAAAGCTATTTCTGGCTGAAAAGTGTGACGATTTCTTTCTTGCCACTGAGTCAGCACGTCCAAAAACCATGTGACCCAAAGTCTTGATATTACTCACTTCTGTAGTTCAAAGTCATGCCCCCAAAGTCATATGATCTGGAAAGCTGATGTGTCTAACACTTGTCTCAATATTCTCCAGTGTGTGAGGGCAAATAAAGCTATTTTAAAAGAAAATCAAGCTATGCAAAGCCAAGTTACATTCCTCCATGGAAAGTGGGCTACTGTATTGCCCTCCTCATACAAAAATGTCGCATGGGGCCATTAGAATGTCATTGTCCAGAAATCAAACCAGGGCAATATTAGATTTCTACAATCCAGGAATGCTGTGAGACATTCCTACTTCTGTTGCTAATACCTGGAGTTCAACCAGTATGGAGGTACTTGGCTTGAGAAATTCTTGAACTTTTTATCCTGTTATTTATATCCATTTTTTTAGCATTTTCTTTATTTTTAATGCAACGTAGCTCATCCTAAATCCCAACAACAGATTAAAATTCTGCAATAAATAATTCAGAGTGGTATTGTAAGATACACTTCTAAAACTTTATTATTGTTATTGTTTGTACTGAAAGCTTCAGTTTTCATTAACAAGAATACTCCTGTTGTCCTTTTCCCTGAATAAGGATGTGACTCAAAATCGGGAGAAGCTGAGAACACAGGGGGCTATTGGTGTCAGGACAACTCTTCATTTTGCAAACCTAATGTAAAAAGGTGCAGTGCAGTGGAATTATAGGCAGATGTCATGGGAGGAATTCTTCTGCAAGTTAAGGATACTGAAGAACAGGCCAGGGGCCATAGGACCTTTGGGATTTCTCCTCCAAGGCTGCAAACACTCCTATACCCCCGTAGGCTCAAGACTTTCCCTTTGCAGCCACCCTGAAAAGAACAAGACAGCTGTTGCCAAAGGTTGCAGAAGTCACTTTGTGGGAGGGCAAAGGGCAGGTGCTCTTACAGGGAGGGCAGAGCTGGGATTCACAGTGGCCTGTGGCCCCTCCAGCTCTGGTCCCACCTCCAATGATGCAACCTGCCAAAAGAAAGCAACAACAAGCCAAGAGGAGGTCAACATTGCTTCTGCCACTCCTTCTGGTCTGTCCACAGCACATAGGATATTCGGCAGTCTCTGACACCAAAGTACTTCTTCAAAGGACATAGGACTGTGCCTTAAATTACTCATTTTAAATCAACACAGTTTTTGGCAAAGTTTTGCGAAGGCCAGTGTCTAAAAGTGATGTGCAAACATGTAGGAAAGATTATATAAGAATCTACAGCAGAGCAGAAATGCACAGTGGTCAGTGTTCTGAAAACAGAAGACAATTTGCCTAAATGTGGAACAGCAGTGATTGATTTGCTCTACTTGAGGCCTTCAGCTTTGTAGGATTTAGACTGCACTAACAGAAGTGGTTCTTATGAAGGAGGAGATGGGGAACTTCTAATAAACAAGGTGCGCAAGCAGGGAGCAAAGATTGCTAGACAAAGACCTACATGGAGCTACTTGCAAATGGACCCCACAGAAAAAACTGTGGTACATTCATTTGGTTCCGAGAGCTGGGAACAGCTGCTGAAACAGCTTGTAAACAAAACTAAGAAATTATCTCAGAGGTTTGTGCAAGCAACCTGCACATGTAGCCACTTCCACCCAAGAACACACCCAATTATCTTTCGGATATACCTTTCCTGCACAGGAGTTCTCAGACACACCCAGTTAAAGTTAGTGAACCAGAGGAGAAGCTGGCAAAGGAAGCTGTCTTGGCTGTATACAAACTAACTACCCCAAGGAAACAAACAAGCCTTCCCTACCCTTGAGCATCAAAGTTAATTTTCAGGTTAATCCTAGAAGGAGCACTCAGACAAATCAAAGTTTGTAAAAAGAGTAAAGTTCACATATCTAGCCTTCAAAAGACATAGGTATGTTATAGTAACTTAATGTTACATTCTCATAAAACTTCAAACATGAATGTGCATCTCAAGAGGATTAACAGGCGGAAAGGTCTGGTAAAGATGTTCGGGAATTCCTTCTTTAAATAATTTAGGCTAGGCTGAGACTATCCTTTATGTTCCAGTGCTGAGCTGTGTTGAACCTAAGTCAGGTCTGCACTTACTTCAGTTTTTTAAAAAAGCATTTGAATGGTCATGGTTTTCCTCATTGGGAACTCTGAGAAAACCATTTTTCTGACAAGAGTATTATTGGTACTTTTGCTAAATATTTTCAGGGGATCCTTCAGAAGCAGGTTTACCATTTCAGACTGAAAGGTAAACCAGAAGTTCATGCAAAGTATTTAATGGCAAATGGGAGAAATACGAATAAAGTTAACTGCTAGTCGAGGGCAAACTCAATTTAACTCTCAAGCAGTCAAGAACCATGTGATTTTCAAGCGTGCCTTTCCTTGTTTTTGAAATACAGACAAAGAGGAACCACCCAGTTGGCCCACCTTTCCCAACCCAAAGTTGGTAGCTAGCATTTGGCTTGCCCACTGGCTGCTCACTTGCTCCTTCTCTCCACTGGTGCTCTAAAAGCAAACATGACCACTACATCCTGGGGAAGAGACAAGTAGCCTACAGGAAGCCCACAAGCTACGCCTGCTGATTAGAGCGACATGTTCGGAGCCACCTTGTTGCCTGGCTGCCTTTCAGAGGGAAGCAGGGCAGCCCAAGTCATCAGATTAACACCTGCCTAATGCACACTGTAGCCATTTTCATTTGCGTAATTACAGGTGCAGGGTGGCAGATGATCCTTGCCAGGAATGCTGCAAACACGGAAGGGAGGCTTTTCTTCTCCTTGCCCAGCTTGTTAAAATAAGGTCACCCTGCTCCCCGCACCCTCACACACAGAGAGAGACGTAACTAAAATGCTTAGGAGAACAGTTCCCATTGCCATTAACAGAAACTTCTTCCCTAAGCAATTTACTTAAGTTAGCAGTTGAGTGGTGATTTTAGTTCCAACTGCACTGAGAATGGGAGCGGTAAGTATCCTTTCTCTGTGTGTTGCATTTCTAGTAAGAACCCCCCACCTGCCACCAGGCCAGCAATTATGTAAAAACAAAAGTACATTGGGAATAGTGCGTTTGTGGCCGTCATACACACTTCCCTTTCTCCAGCCTGAGTCTGAACTTCATATTAGGGCTTTGGTAAGCCAGCCTTCCTGAGACTCTGCTACACAGCCCTGTGCTGCATACCTGAACAGCCAAACCCTGGAAGATGGTTCCCAGAGACAAGGGCTTTGCACTCACGGTCCAAGATGTACAGCAGTCTCCCTTGAATCTCTCGGCATCCATTTTGATCTTTCTGGGTGCAACTTAACCCTAACCTTGCCACTCCTACCCACATTTTAAGTACTGCTCCCATTTGTGTGGATTCAGTGATTTCAGCATGCTTTTACAGTGTATTTAAGTTTTTAAATCAGATTTGTAATTTTATACACACACATACACAAGCTACCTTTTCACCTGTGTTCTTTAAACAAGAGATTAAAAAAAAACCCCCCAAACAGCTGACTAATTAGCAGGTGGGATGAGTAGGACACTAATACCTCCCCAGTGATTTCTACCATGCTGTTTACGCCAGCGTAGCTTTCTGATTACTCTTCCGAGGCAATGTTTTAATTTAGGCCCATTTGATCCACTATGCAGCAGCTCATCCATAATTTAGAGAAGGCTGGTGACTTGGGCTGCCCAGTTTAACACCTTTAGTATGCTGAATGAGGCACTGGAGTGCTCACTGCAAAATCCTTTCAGAAGCTTATCCACAACAGATCAAAAGGCCAATAGCTTTTAAGGCAATCTCCAAAGCACTGGGGTAATTATTAATTCATGTGAAGGTTTCCTCCTAAGTGTCTATCCCCCTCCCCCTTATGCTAATGCATTTAAACGCCTACCAGTTGATCGTTTAAACACAGTGTCCTGCTGGATGAAAAGCAATGTTTACCATAGCACGGCTAATTTATGATGACTTTTTAATGAAAGGCTGTAACTATGTGCTGAGTGAATAAAACATCAATAATCAAATTATCTCTAAAATAAGCAGTGAACAAAATCTTGTGCGTATTTGTGTTTAATTACAGCAGGTGCAATTCTAGAGGAAACTGAAAGACCTTTTTACCACAGACTGCTCTGAGCAAATATAGCAGCTGACATCTTGGTTCCTTAACTGATTCTGTACCAAGGGGGGTGGGGGGAAGGGATATTAATATTTTGCTGGCATGGCTACATATCAGTTCTTCACTATTTGTTTTCCTGGAGAAGGAGAACTGAGAAAGATGGCTCAGATGATGGCTCGGATGACAGAAGGAGTCTACCACCTTCTGTCATTGCCCTGTAAGTGCTTAAGGGGATTCCAAAGCCTTCCAATCTGAAGTATGGGGAGCAACAACATCCACCAGAGGCTAGCAAAATAGGGCAGGGTCTAATGGTGGCTGCACAGTAGGAAGGAGTGCCTTGCTGATATTTCCAGTGCCCAGTTGTTGCCAGCTGAGTGCACTTTTAGCTAAATAATCCATCTGACCATTCTGATGGGTCCCAGAACATCTGAAATCTTTGCTGAAAAGAAAACAGGAAGAAGTCAGTGAGAGCCAGTTCACCGACAACCTCTGGACCTGCTGGAAAAGCAAGCCTGGCTGCTTGTTTATCTGACTCCCAAAATTCACATGTCCTCCACTTGTCTGGTTCCGCATCCTGTCTAATCCCTGCCTATTTTCAATCCTGATAATGCTTCCCTGAACTTTTTCTCGTGCAGCTTACTTGAATGCTTTCTCATCACATACAGATTCTTGCCTGCCTGGCCTCAGTCCTTGGGGTCCATCCTGCAAACATTTCAGAGATTAGCCACTGCCAGCTGCCTCTCACCTGAGCACGGAGGACCCGCAGCAGGAAGCAGCTCCTACATGCCAGACTAGAGGGAGCAATCATGAGCTGTTCTATCAGCCCACCCATTATTTTGGCCCCCCCAAATGGTAGTTATTATATTCATTTAAAACAGTTATTCCTCCACCAAAATGCTCCCAACCCTATCTGTTTCCCCCCATAAAATGTTGTTCCAGCCTGGCTCTGTGTTTTCTCCTTCCCTGCCTATCTTACCCCTGCCAACAGTTGCAGTTTTTAATGATTGCCATGCTTGGCCCAGCTCTTGTTCCTTCTATTAGCAAGTGATTCCCCGTGACACGCATGCAACCAATCCTGATGAAGGACCAAGGAGACCCCTCCTCGGGTGTCAAGCCTTATGCAACTACTATAGGGGGGCAGAGAGAGTGGGATGCAGCTCACTGCACCTGCTCCCAAGGGCAGTCCCCTTGCCTGCCTCACCCTCTGCCATCCATGTGCTGGGGAAACCTGAAGAAACCTATACAGAAACCTATCTGTATAGGCTCTCTGCACAGTTTAGTAACCTGACTACACAGGGTCCCAAATCATGTGGGAGTTTAAGCATGCAGAGCAAGATGCCCCTCCAAACCTTCTCTCCTGCAAGCCAAGGAGACGGGGAGGTGGCAGGTGGGAGAATGGGGCCTGCTAGTGTTTTAGCAGCAGAGTTGGAGGCACCAAGCTATTTCCCCTCCTGTGTTGCAAAGGTGCAAGCCATTCTATGGATTCTATGCCACCTGAATAGGGCAAAGAGGTTTTGAAATATACCATATTACAGGACCATAGTTACCGGGCAAATTGCAATATACCATTCTAACCAAGAAATAGTAGGACAGTAATATACATGGGACAGGTTCCTTCAGGAAAACTCTGAGTCACCAGGGTTAGGGCTTGCAAATTACATGGTTGTTACTAGTGGTGAAATGAAAACCTACTGCTTCCCTTAAATCCTGCATCCAAATCAGAGACTCAGAAGGAAGCTAGAAATACCCGTTAAGCTATCTCTGAACAGATCTAGACACATTGTCCATATATGTACCATCACTAAGAAAGAACTGCAGAAAACATCTTCCCATTATTGCTAGAATAAGGAAAGCATCCCTTTGCTAGAAGCATTTATTGAAACACAGCATCCCTTGTGTAAATTCCTGCTCCATAGTCTTTGGGAACTGTTTTCTATAATCACACCACACCCCTCTAGCTAGTAATCACTTCTTTGCAATACTTACTTAGAACCAGCAACCAAACCCATCAGCACCCTTTGGACCAAGGAGGTCTAATAGTGCTTCCCAAAGGAAAAGTAGGCTTTTAACTACTCTTAAGACGGTAGCAGAAGTTGCCAAAAACTGTTGTTTCTCAAGATCTTTTCTCAGAGTTGGATCATGATTAAGTTACAGTGCACAGTTTTACCAGGTGAACCAGGTGACTGAGTCAAGTGCTTTCCATGTTTGCTGAGGCTCTAAAATACTGGAAAAATACAGCTGGTAATGGCCATGCTCTTAATATATGTGTTAATTTAGGTAATATGGATATGTTACAGTGTTCTGTTCTGTAGCTAATTCAAATTTTGCAATTACTTTGGCACAAGATGGCTGTCAAAGGCAGGGTGATGGACCTACATTTCCAAATTTGTCTGCTCACTAGAACAGATGCATATCGTGTATGGGCAGGTTCACATGTCATGCTATGACACCTTGAGAATGAGCAATCAAGGGTTGCTTGCTTGCTAATCTTATAGACAATGAGGCACTCTGTGATTTGCTGTGACTCGTTTCCCCCTTCAGTCCTCAAGAATGCTCCTGACAAGCATCTGAGGAACCTTCGTGGCTGAATTCATTTGTCTCCTAGGTCCCCCTGTCAGCACTCTTTTGGCTCCCAAGAGAAACTCCCTTCCTCTTTGCTGCTTCCCTTGTCAGTGAACAGCTTTTTAAAAAATCTGTTTCACATAGTACGCACATAACACCACCTGCCCCTAAAGCTCCTTTCATCTTGCTCTCAGAGCCTTGCTCCCCACTTTATTCTAGTTGCTTCCTACCACTGGTCTGCATTACTAGTTATCACATATACTTCTGGGATAGAGAGCAGTAAACAGAACTACTAAATATGTGCAATTTTCCTGGCAAAGCAATAAAATGTAGGGAGAAACTGGAGAATTTCATGGTAGGACAGTAAACTAAGGGAAACTTGCAATGATCTCATGGCAGAGTAATAAAGCTAAGAGCAAAATTGAGCAAATCTCATGGCAAAGCAGTAAAATTGAGGGGGAAATTATAGTATCTTAAACCTACTTGCACTGTCTAAATCCCCCCCTCATTTATTGGAAATATTGCTGGATGTTGAATATCATGTAATTAGCCATTTGATAAGGGTTGAAAGAAAGACTGGCTTTTATGCCTAAGCTAATAAAATAAAGCTCACCTCTCCTTTCATCTTAAGAATTAGAGAATCCTTCAAAACTATGCAGCCTCTGAAAAACTGAGCTTATGTCTGAAGGATGAACTTTTAGTAAACAATATTTGCAGTCCATCTTATGAATGTGGAGGAGTCACAATTTCAAGAAATTCCTCAATTTTTCTGATCCCTAAAAGATTTACACGCTGAGCACAATGGAAGAAGAAGAAAAAAAGAGGACTGTGCAAAGAACAAAACATCTTAAGATACTTACAGTGTGCTTAAGTTTTCCAGGCCTGTAAAGGCCCCACTGGTGTCTTCTATTGTGCCTGAAATCTCGTTATGGTCTAGATCCCTACAGAGAAGAAGACAAAGGAAAGCTTGCAATCAATTTCCCAGTTTGTGAGCTCAGTGCTGAAAGAGAGGAAGGGTAACCTTTAGGAAGAGCTTGTCAAAGGCCTCCTCTTTTGTCCCCATAGCATAAAGCTTTTATTAGAAGTGCCCACTACTTGCATGAAAAAGCAGGAGTCATTAACAGACTAGGCATGGGTTTTTTGCTATTGTTTTCGTTAAATGAAAGCTTTCAAAGTGATGCTTTTGCTATCTAGGCCTCTGTATTCCTGAACTGAATTTTGATTTTTCCTGTTTCAATGCCCAAGTCACATTTACTACTTAAGAGCTATGAGAAAGTGGTTCTATTCCAATCAGAAAGAAATCAGGAACAATTCAATCACTGTGCCAGAACTGGCACTGAACAAGAGAGCTGCATCCAGGCACCATGTTGTTGCTGGGCATGGTGACACAGAAGCAGCTCCTGGAAAGATCTTGGTGCAGATAGAAGCCAAAGAATTGGTGCAGGTCAGCACAGCAGGTTATGGGTGTAAACAATGGGAGGCAGTGAGACAGACTTTAGACTTTGTCTAAGTCAGGGTGACAAAGTCTTTAAATTTTCACATGCCAGGAGGCTACATCAACAAGGTCAGGAATACACTTTTGCTCCTTTTGAGTCACATGTATTTGATTCTTCATGTTTCATTTTTAAATTTTTAATCTCACTCAAGTGTTATTTTCCTCTGCTTCTAGTTTTTACAAATCTATCATTGGTCAAGCAGAGAAATGTGTTTTGAAATGTTACAGCTAAAAGAATCTAAAGACATTTTGGGAGTATAAAATGCAGGTGCGATCTCTGAAGCACACTTTAAAAATTAATTTACCTTTGTATTAATACATTTTCTAAAAAATGAGAGAAAGCATAGTTTGTTACCATGCGGGCTTTTCCAAAGGAACATGAAATGCCTTTTAATGCCAAGGAAATAAAGGGGGTGGAGGAGACATGCTTTCACCGAAAAAGAAAAAAGAAAAAAAGGCAAAGGGGTTCAGTATTCCGGCCCAGTTTTCTCTGCATTCACTGTGCTTTTCTCCCAGCCCCTGTTGCCAATTTCCTATTCTTTCTGGCTGGCTGGCCCTGAAAGCGCACTGCCTTGTTAATCATTCTGCTGTGAGGTCCTTGGGCCTGACCTCTATTTGAATAGCTTCGCATTTCAGCAGTTTCACACCCACCAAAGGCTCGTCAACAATAGGCAGTAATTAAAGCATGCCCAGCTCTTTTTCACCAGGTGCAGGACCCGATGGGCCTTCCTCTTGATTCAATTAGAACTTGCTCTCCCACCCTCTGTTCTCTACAGGCAATGGGTACAAAGGATGACCAAGAATTAGCTGCAATCCAAACACTCTTTTTGGTTTGGGAAAGTCTTTTTCTGGGCCAGCTGCCTGGGAGAAGAGCCCCTCTAAAAGCAGGCATGGGATTGAAAATGGTTCTGGGAAAGTCAGAGAAACATAAAGCGCTTCCTCCCTCTGCTCTGTAAAGGGAATAAATAACTGCACAGTGGGGTAACTCAACAGAGGAGCTCTTGCTTCCTTTCAAACAAACCAAATGCTTAAGGTGGCCTAGGAGAAAGCAGTAACTTTTTTGAAGACATTGTTTTCTTCATTTCGCTTAAATGTGCCTATGTATTTATTTGTTTGTTTAAAGGAAAATTGATCCCAAAAACCCTGGCTAGGAGACAAAATCATGCTGGAGAACTGGCACTAAGGATTTCATGACACCGGAAGATTCATAATTGTGCATGCATAATTTCAAGGCAATAAAAGCCAAGATAAATTGTGGGAAAGAAGAAGCCACAAGTGTTGCTAGCAGCTGTATATCCCAACTGAAAGCTAGTTGTTCCACCAAATGCAGTGGTAAAATAACAGGTTTTAGTCATACCCAGTCATGGGAAACCAGAAAAAGGATTCTTGCCAGCCTGGGACACTGCACTGGAAGCTAAAGTAATCTCCCAATTGCACTTCAGTTAATGGCAGACACATGCAAATATCAGAAACCACCCATTCTATGGCTCCAGGAGAGCATCTAGCTAGGCGGAAAAGACATACAGAACACGCAAGCTTTTGAGTCCCTTGAATGCTCCCTCTGCAATGTGGCTAATGGAGTTGTGGCTGAGATGCAGTATTTGCAGTCCTCCCAAATCTGCTAAGCTCCCCTCATCCAGCCTAGTCAGGTTGTTAAACGACAATGACCTGCGAATGAGAAAAAACAAGGTATCATCAGTCTAACATTTCCCTAAAGTCCTCATTATCTCTCTACAGCAGCTCCTTTCTGCTTGCCAGCATCTATCTCCTGTTGAGATTGATTATGTAACTAATATCACTGTATCTTCCCTGCAGGAAAACATGTCAAACATACTTCAATCAGGTAAAGTGTTTATAAATTAAATTAAGTCGGAAGCTATTTTATTTAGCTGTTTGATTTTCATTCCATGCAATGGTTGGACTTTCAGAAAGCGATATGCATAAACTTTTGAAAAAGTTTATCACCCATTTACTGCATTATGATCTTGGGACCTTAGGGAATGCTATGGTGAGCCTCCCAAACTCAAGGAGAAAACTATCAATGCTTCTGAAACCAGAGAATCAACAGAAGTTTGCCTCCTCTCCTGAGAAACCCACAGAGGGTTTCAAAATCAACCAGTATTCTGGGACACATAGTGCCAAGTACTTGTGCTACTAAAAAGCGCAGGGTGAAAATCAGCATTTTGCTAGCAGGTCTCAATCACAACTGATAATAAGGCCTAGGTCAGACATAAGGTCCACAGCAGTGATAAGAAAATATAACTTTTAAGCAATGTCTGTAATGTCTAAACCCAGGGAACTCTGAATTGTTTAAACTATGATCCATAATAAGCTACAATCAAAACCATGGTTTTGGGTCCTAGGTTTTTTTACCACCTGCAGTTTAAACAATCCACAGTACTCCAAGTTTGGCCTTATTGCAACGTCAGTTCATTTAAAACAGAAGTGGGTGCTTTCCATCATGTCCTTGCAGCCAAAAATGAGGAGCAGGGATGCCCAACACAGAAGCTTACACAGAGTAGTTCATGGAGCAGGAAGCAGTGGTTTATGGGTCTAGAAGAGTCAAAGGAAAGGTTTTGTTTAAATAGAGGCAGCTTTGCATTTTGTAAGCATGTCAGCAAGGACTCCTCATGCAAAACAACTTAAGAAGCAATATTTTGCATGTATACTATGGTATTGTTATTTCCAAGTACTGGAACAAATTGTATGTAATTTGGTCCACTTCTGAATCTCTGTATTTCTCTTGCAGATTTGACTAATATCAACTGCTATGGAGAAAGCACCTAGAGTAAGCATAAAAGTTAACAGCAAACGCCAAAGCTTAAGTCAAAACAGACACATTTTTAAGCACTAGAAGTGTCACATTTCCTTGGCAAATAAGCTGTATATCTTTTGTAAATGCAAGCAGAAGCCGCAGCAGTGCAACTAAAAGCACTGGAAGAAATTCAGAAGAGATTAATGACTTTCAGGAAGGCATGGGACAACATACACTCGTTCCTAAAGCTGCTGTTGTATTGAATTATGAAGAAATGGCAGTCAGTCAAAATTATTTCCTCACCTGCGATGAAACAATTTTTCAAAGGGAGGGGGGTGGGGTGGAGGAAAGAAGAAATCCAATGCTAGAAGGTAATGCTAAATTTGACTAGGAAAAAAAAGGCTTCCTTTGATATTCTGTATGGAGCCTTCTGTCAGAACTGGTTCAAGCATGTTTCTTTGCTGACATCATACAGAGATAGCCAAGAGCAAACTTCAGAACAGAACTTCAGAATATCCATCATTACATCTGCAGTCAACTGGAAAGACACATCAGCTTGCACACATTCTAGCATTACTGTTCTCCTTCCCTTCTGCGTATTTACCTGCAGACCGTTTATGTCTTTCCTTCAAGAATCAGGAAAAAATTGCTAATTGTGAATGCTTTGAGGAGCTCCTCCCTCCCGTATTATTTTTTTAAAGGGCTGCAATACCTACTATCAAGGAAAGGGCTTTCACCAAAGAAATGCAGAATTGTTTTCTGAACCCCCTTATTTGCAAACCAGAGCAGAACCAAAGTGGACAATCACGAGCAGATCACAGCGGCTTACTTGTTTAGAAATGTTTATGTGCCACTTTTTAGTCAGTATCTCAAGGTGCAGAACTAAGCACAAAGTCAGAGAGTTTTAAATACGTAAATATAAATGTCTGGGTGAATAAAACAGAGGTTGCCTGACCAAGAATTGCAGAAAGCCTGGTGCCAGTTCTACCTGTCAAGGAACAGCATTCTTTGGCACCACTATTAAGAAAGCCCCCCTCGTAAAGGAAACCTCAGTTCTGATGAGGGCTGCAGTTTAAAAAGGCATCAGCTGGGCATGAGCAGAAAGGAGGAGTTCCTCCTTCCAGTATTTAGGTCCAAAGCCATCTAGAGCTCTGAAAGACAAGTATCAGTTCTTTGAATGCAGCCCAGAAAAAAACAGGTGGCCGGTGTAGCTTTTTAAACCCAGCAATGGATGACCTGTGCGCAGCATCGCAGTCAAAACTCTGGTCACTGCATTCTACCGTAACTGAAGCTTCCGAAATGTTTTCCAAGGTAGCCTCCTATACACAACACATTGCAGTAATATCTACTTTTATTGCCAACTCACAGTTCATTCAGCTTCTGGCAGAAGCTCCATCCAACGGGACTGATACGGGATATCAAGTTGTTACTGAGATGAAATTGCTGAAGAGATGCAAGACCATACAGGGATCCGCTGTTCACCTCCGTAAGGACATTGTGCTCCAGATGCCTAGAAGAAAGGGCAATTGAAACACTCTGACTAGGTTCACTGATATAAAACAACAGCAACACAAACAATGCTTCTTTAAAGACCAATAAATGCAATCATCTTCATTCATTCATTCATTCATTCATTCATTCAATTTATATCCTGCCTTTTTCCTACAAAGGGCTCAAGGCAGCTTACATCATTCTCCTCCTCCATCTTATCCCCACAACAACCCTGTGAGGTAGGTTGGGCTGAAAGCCTGTGACTGGCCCAAAGTCACCCAGTTGGCTCCATGGCTGAGCGTGGACTAGAACCCAGATCGTCTGAGTCCCAGTCCCAGCTCTTAACCACACCACCACACTGGCTCTCAATTAATATCCATGCCCTTCTTTGCTCTTAAGGGTCATGTTTGCAGTTTAAGGTTAACATGGCCTCCAGGGAGATGCTCGAATTAACCTGGATAAAACGCGAGCAAGGAATGAGTGGGCACAGAGAGCCACTACTCAGGGAAACCAGAGGGAGAAACCCCCAGGGGTCTGAAGCCCTCCCACCCACTCTGTAGATGAACTGAATGTGTGTGTGGGGGGGAGGGGTGTTGTTTATTGTTGCAGAAGCAGGAGTGAAGGCAGATAGAAGTACACTGCACAGGAAAAAGTTACCTTTTAAGTGGCATGAGAAAATCATATTTAAACTGTATTTTTACTGAAAAAAGGACATGACCATTAGCCATCAAAACATGAACCATGAATCAGGATGCAGGTCAGACTAATGTGTCAGTGCAAAGGATTCATAACATCAGGACCAAGAAAAATACAAATTTTACAAGGTAGGTACGTCTGTCCAAAATGATTTGTGGCTTTTCAGTAAAAAAAAAAAAAAAAAGTAACGGAAGAGTCTTTGTGGCTTTTAGGAGAAAAAAAAATGAAGGGTGAAATGAATGGGAGAATTCTTCTGATGGAAGAATTCAACTGCACAGGAATTTAGCCACATATATTTGTAGCCCCATCAAAGCCCCTTTACATAACCTTAATTGCTACAAAAATCCCTGAGCACTGTCCCAGTAGGACCCCCATAACTAAGCATTTTGCTTCTGTCTCTAACTTCACTCCAAACCAGGGGTGGACAACTTGCGACCCTCCGGATGTTTTTGCCAACAATCCCCATGAACTATCACCACTAGTTGCAGTGATTAGGACTGTAGGGCCACAAACTCCACATCTCAGATCCAAACAGCAGTGCAACTCTACGTATGTTCACTCAGAAGTAATTCCCATTGCATTCACTGATCTTACTCCCAGGCAAGTGTGCAAAGGATTGTGGCTTAAGGGTAGAAGCCAGAAGAGCAACTGTGTGATTGCATAAGCCAGATTACCCATCAGTAACCTGCATAGCACATTGGACAAAGACACGGTCAGAGGACTGCTAATATTCTACCACTATGACTGCCTTTTAACTTACAGAACTTGCATTTTGGCCAGACCCCAGAAAGCTCCATCGGTTAGCTTGCTTATGTTGTTGCGCTGTAGCTTCAGAACTTCCAAGCTGTCCAGCCCTTGAAACGTCAGGCCTTCTATCAGACGAATACGGTTCCGGTTTAGCTCTCTAAAATTCCCAGCAACACAGAAGAACATTAACCCAAGCATTTCCACTCATCTTCACAACCCCAAAGCCAAGACCTGAACCGTTTCCACCAGAGACCCCCACAACAGCTGTCCAGAAACAGGGGTTGCTTCGGCATGAATCCTGCCTTCAGCAAACCTAGCCACAGGCAAAGATAAAGAGCAGAATTTCTTGGCAGGAGGGATGTTTCTGACAGACCACATGATTGATATATTTTACTGGCGCTCTTGTTGAAAACCTTTCATTTTTTTTACCACATTCTTAGAACTCGCATGCTTAAGAAATCAGGGCTTTCCTCTTAACCTGTCAAGAATGTAAATGTTTTCAGTCACAAAACTTAAATGTCTGCTAATCCCGGCAAAACGGTTGGCATATGTTTTACAAGTGCATCATAACCCCACAAAAGTACCCTTTGTAAATTTTTCAGATTTATTCAGACATTCATTTTAAAATAAAGATAGAAAGATGCAAAATTGCAGTAAGGTCCAAATATTCCAACCTTTCCCTTTTCCTCATAGTTTCCACTTAATGCCAGGCTAATGAAACTCATTTATTTCAGATAATGATCAGACTCAGCAGTGGTCGTATCAGTGCATGGTAGTTTATTATAGCATAGATGGTCAAAAATATTTTCATTTCAGTGAGCAAAGGTAGTATCTTACTATGTCCAATTCCTTTGGTGAAGAGACAAGCCAGTGTTGACATTATGCAGGATTTTCCACCGAATGAGGGGTTGTGTGCTTATCACCAAAGCTTACATACTCTTGCATGAGACTGTACCTATGTTGTGCACCTACTGCATTTAAGCAACAGTGAGATTTTTACTTACGAAAGTGTGTGTGGCTTTCAGTATTTCACCAATAATTTGAAGTCACCCTTTTAGTGCAAATAGTTTAAAACATCAGCACCAGAAAGGCACAATAGTGGGGGGGGGGGGGAGCACAGAGAACAGCAGCTAAACAAAAACAAACCAAAAGACCTTGGGCTCTTAACATGCACGGTTTGAAAGGCAGGGAACAAAAGGAAGGCTATTCTTGGGATCCAGACTAAGAGTGCTCTATTGTAAGCTGTGCAGGGAAGGAAAATAGGTCCAATTTAAAATATTGATTTCTAGAGTCGTCCCCAGATTTCTGTGTGTGCAACATTTTGCACAAGCATAACAGTATCTATCGATGTGTTTGCCGTTCCCTCATACTACAATCTAATGCAAGGTATAAGACAGCTTTTCTATGAGTAGAAAATTCCTTGGGACTATGACCGTGAATTATATTCACAACAATGTGTCACTCTCAACATTATTTTTGGGGTTCTAGATTAAATTCTTTGGATAGCTCTAGAAATGATTTATTATGATTTCATTCCATTACTTTGAGTACAATATTTAACCTGAAACTATGGGTGCTATGTAGAGAAGCCCCTATACATCAGCCAAGAATTAGAAGCTGGTGGTTATATTCTAACCTGCTAAATAATAAAAATGTATTCCATAGATGAGAACTAGGCTCCTTTATACATTTCTGAACACTACCCTTGCAGGATACAGTTAATCAGGATTTTCAATAAAGAAAGTGTGAACATTCAGTTTTGTGGCATGTGTAAACTGTGTGTTCTATAACCAATTCACTAAGTGATAAAGAAAAATGTAAATTCCTTCTATGAGATGACTTTTGGGTAAATAAAGAAAATCAGTTTTCTTGGATGAACAAGTTTAACCCAAGTCCTAGCAGTAACTTCAATTTAAAAGGTATCTCATACTCTTTTATTTGCAAAGAGTTTAAAAACTCTCAGTATCTATATTCACATTTATTTCCATATCTATTTTATAGCTAGTTCTATATCTATTTCTATAGCTATCCCATCTCTATAGCTCTACTTGAAATTTTATACCAAATGGGGCATAAACTAGTCCGAGTTAGATTCTGAACTTTCAGAAAGCAGCATTGAAACTAAAGGTCAGTTATCTTCATGTAAAGCACCTTCACAGATGTAGATGTATATTTATGGTCAAAGGCAGCCCAGGCTACACTCAAGCTGAGCAAACAGCAGTGTGTGCACTAACTCATCAAAGCACCATTTTGTACATCTAAATGTCAATTGCACACATTTAACAGCCTTCCCTCACTGCAGTTTTATTACTAAAGACATATGTGTGGTCTTGAAAACTGTGTTCAGAAAACCCCTTAACTTGCTTCACTTTCACTACATTCTAATAAAACAAAGGGTAAAATAACAATGAGCAAGAAGAAAAAGAAAAAAACAAGGTTTGTGGCATGTGTAAATTGTGTGTTCTATAACCAATTCACTAATTATTATCAAATATCTTTTTTCCTTTCCCCATTAAAAGTATAATCTGCAAAGTCAAACCAATGTTGGACCACCAAAAAAATCTACTCCTAATTTGTTTTATTAGGTGTCACCATAGGGCCATTAAAATATAGTTTATTTAATGTTTTATAGATGCAGAGTGAAGGAGGATTGCATTTGGTAAGCATGTCCTTAGGGAATGTTTGTCTCCATAAAGCTTATGGTTAGCCCTAATTAAAATGCACATTTCTACTCACAGTTGCATGAGCCTGGGCAGCTTGAATGCTTTCACAGGAAGCTGAGTGATCCTGTTTTTACTCAGGCGAAGCGTTAGCAGGGATCGTGACAGACTATCAAAAGCCTTCGTCTCCAGGATGCTGATTCTGTTGCTCCCCAGGTAGCTGCAATAATTCATTACAGAACATTCAAATGACTCTGTCACAGTTCTTGGTCTTCATGCTTTATCTGAACAAGTGGCAGCATTAAACCCATTATATTAAAAAATCAAGTGTGCTTTCTCCTCAGACAAGTCAAGCCAATTTCTCCCTTAGCACCACTTAAACAAGCACCTTCAAACTCCTAGAACAGCTTTTTCCAACCTGGTAGCCTTCAGGTGCTTTGGATTTCAACTCCCATCAGCCCCAGCAAGCATTGCCAATGGCCAGAAGTGCTGGGAATTATAGTCCAAAACATCTGGAAGGCACCAGGTTGGGAAAGGCTGTCCTAGAAGAACTAATTCCTTGTCACTCTTATTGTGTACTGTAAACAAGATTCATACCACAAACCTAACAAAGAGACACTGCATTCTGGAAGGCATCATGTGCAACCAGAACAACTGTGTAACGCACAGTCACTTACCTGCTGCAGCCCCATGAACCACACAATGTTCTACATACCCATATACAAGTCTCCATCAACACCCTAAACCAAGGGAACATTAAAGGAGATGGCAGCCTTTTATCTGTAGTTATTGAGCCATGAGGATCCAGAAAACCCTGCCAATCTACTGCAGTTTACCCAGTGATCTACACTAATGACTGCACTGTATCTTATAACTCACAACCTAACGTGCCTTCAAGGAGTTCCACCTTCATGGCTCTCTTTCCCACTCACTGCATCCCCCTAGCAAACTGATGAGACTGGCCAGGCTGAGAGACAGGGGGGATCGTTCATTCAGCATGCCATCCCATGCAACTGTAGTCTATGTAGCAACCATTTTGAACATGTAAAGTCCACTTGGGGTTGTTGTGTTATGTGAACACCACGAGTGTGGGTTATGCAATGCCTCGACAACCCTCGCTTAAGCCATGGTCTGTCTCAGATCTATGCAACAGTAGCTTAACCCTTGCATAACTCATGCTCACCAAAACACACAGCAAAATAGCCCCCAGGAGGGTGATGTCCATTTAAGTTGGCACCCGTAGGTATTGCAGCTAAATAAGTCATGGGTCTTCTCAGTCCTAGACCAACAATCCAACCACACAATACCACAATGGCCCCCTTCTGCCCATCCTTGCCATCACTCATTTTGTTCACTGAAAAATGAAATACAAATTATTTTAAGTACTCATTTTCATTTAGCAGCATTTAACTGCTGTATGTCTGGGGGGCCATGTAGAAGCAGTCCACCAAAGTAGTCCATTTTATTGGTACAGATTTTGCTTCCGACTTTCTGCCTCAGATCATTCTTGAAATTTACAGTCTCCATACTGCAAAGCAGCTCTATGGCATCATCTGCTGATTAATACAGTTCAGTTGTGACTTACAGTCAAGTCTAAAGTCAAACCATTTCTTTTTCTTTCATTATAGAAAAAATGGCCTCCACTATTCAACAACATTGCAGCACTCAATATTTTCATCACATAGAAAATAGTGAAACCAGCTGTTATTAAAAATGTGATGCAAATGCCAACAACACCTAGTCTCTCTCTTAGCAATCTCCTCCCTTTTCATAAGGAACACATATTCCCTCCACTCATCTCCACTCCTACGAGGGGCGTTCAATGTATTCGCGGTATCGGGTTGATTTGCTATTGATGTGGGTAATGTAATTACTTCATTAGCTAATGACACTATCTGAGGGTATACATGCAAAATTTCAACTAAGTGTGATCATTAGTTCCCTAGTAATCCTCAGTGAAAGACGACCATGATGACTGACGCGACAATGTTGAAGAAAATCGAGCACTGCGCTGTGATTAAGTTCCTTACAAACAAGGAAAAAGTCAAAAAATCATTCATGAAGAGATGGTGGTCGTTTACCAGGACTCTGCACCTTCATTATCTACTGTTCAAAAGTGGTCAAGTGAATTTAAAAGGGTCAGAGAAAGCACTGAAGACGACCATCGCTTGGGCGGACCGGTTACTGCCACTATGAAAGAAAATGTGAAAAAAATTGAGAAACTTGTATTGGAAGATGCCCGAATAAAAAATCAAAATGTTAGCAGAGATGGTAAACCTATCCGTTGGTATCATATTTACTATTTTTCATGACCATCTTAACCTTTCAAAGGTCTGTGCAAGATGGGTGCCACGAATGCTCATGGCGCCTCAGAAACAAGTGCGAGTCGAGTGCTGTAGGGATTTTTTAGAGCTCTGTGGTGAAGATCCATCGATTATTTTCGACTGGATTGTTACTGGAGATGAAACTTGGGTTCATCACTATGACCCTGAAAGTAAGCAGGAGTCCATGCAGTGGCATAAAAATGGTGTTGACCCTCCAAAGAAATTCAAAGTCACTCCATTGGCCGGAAAAATCATGGCCACAGTGTTTTGGGACTCAAAGGGAATTTTATTGATCGAGTACACGAAATAAATGCAGCATCTTACACAACCACTCTGCATAATTTAAGAGAAGCAATTAAAGAAAAAATGTGGGGAAAACTGACCACAGGTGTGTTGCTTCTTCACGACAACACGCCCATTCACACGGCACGTGTTTTGAAGGCTGCTGTGCGAGACTGTGGTTTCGAAGAAATAAACCACCCACCCTATAGCCCGGACCTGGCCCCCAGTGACTACTACCTATTCCCAAATTTAAAAAAGATCTTCGTGGAAAGAGATTTTCCGACGACGAAGAGCTCAAGGTGGCAATTGATGCATATTTTTTAGACAAGGAGGAAGGGTATTTTTAACAGGGAATTGAAAAGTTAATTTCTAGATGTAATAAATATATTGAAGTTATGGGAGATTAAATTGAAAAATAAAAATTATTTCAATTTATTATTCCTTTTTCTTCATGCTGATACTGAGAATACACTGAACGCCCCTCGTATCCCTGCTAAATGCCAGTGCTATTTGCTATACTAAACAAGCTACAGGAGAGAATGCAGCAGCTTCAAGTGGGAAGACTCTTGCCTTGGTTCTGCCATGTTTAATTTCCCCTGCCCCAACAGCCATTAGAGAAACCAAGTTCACATGAATAACATGGCTTGTTTAGGCTGTTAAGCACATCACACACCATTTCCCAAATTAAGCATCTAGGCATGGCTTGTTGAGTCATCAAAATCTGGGTGGCATTACTGGTTGGGAGGGGAGAACAATGCCCAAATTGTGTATGGCCTGTTGCTGGGTTATCTGAGCAGTTCCTCCTCAAATAAGTGTCCAAGTTCAGAAGACACAACAAGCACTACAAGGGCAAGTAAACAGACAAGCGGTGTCTAGCAAGCAATGTGGCTTAAACATGCTATTGTGGCTTGTTTAAGCTGTTGAATTTGAATTAAATTTTCAACTTTTATGGGGATGAATGAACTGGAGGATTCATTCTGGGTTAGAAGAGTCCTTGAAAATCAGACCTCCTGAAACTGGTGCTCTCTGTTAGTGTTGGATTGAAATTCCCAGAATTCTGGACCACTGGCCATTCTGGCTGAGGCAGATGGGTGCTGAAGTCCAAACTTTCTGGAGGGTGCCAGGTTGGGGAAGTCTGATCCAGTCTAATTCGCTGCTCAGTCTTTGCAATGCACGATGCAGCTACAACATCCTTGACAGGTGGCCATCCAGGCTCCTCCTAAATACCTCCAGCAAAGCAGAACTTACCACCTCCTCACTGCTGGATGTCCTCGGTACTTTCCTAATGTTTAAGAGGAATCTGTATCCCTGCAACCTCAAACCATGAAGTCTCTGGAGCAACAGGGAACAAATCTGTACCATCTCCTACACAACAGCCTTTCAGATACTTAAGACAGCTATCATGTCTCCATTTACACTTCTCTTGTTCAGACTAAATATGCCCAGCTTTGGTTTCCAGACTCCTCATTCTACTTCTTCTCTTCTCCAGACATGCTTCAGTTTGTCAGTGTAAACAGGACACCCCGTATCTAAAGGAACAGGTTCCAAGCCCCTCCGTGGATGCCTGAAACCACGGATAATAGCGAACACTACATGTACCACATACTGTACCTATACATTTCTTTTTCTACAATTTCATGAACAGATGATTCATTCTTACCATACATCCTAGCAACCTCAGCACATGACTTTTTCTTTCCTCATTAAATAGAGAATTTTCACTTAAAGGAAGTACTTAACGGCTTCTCTTTGGCACTTTGCGGCATTTTACGACTTCTCTTTCAGACTGAGGTCAACTGCAGTCAAGTGAAAATGCAATAATTGAGTCAGCGGATATGCGTGTCCCGCTGTACTTCTTAAAATGTGGTGCCCAGTGCCAGACACAACATTGCACATGCATCCCAACTAACACAGAACACAGTGAGTACTATTAATCCTCGTGATCCAGGTTCCATGCTTTTGTGGATGCAGTTTAACACTACATTTTGGTGTGTGTTTTTTTAAGCTAGTTCATATTTAGTTTGTAAACAGGCGGAAGTGCTCAGTGTGTTTCTTCAGTAAGATGTTCCTTCAAGACCTGCCATGAAAAACGTAATCACTCAAAGTATAGGTACTACGGTACACAGACAAAAACACACGTAACACCCATCTGATTTACAATCCATAATTACGATCTATTTCTAAGCTTTCAAAGTATCAAAAGATCAATCCTTACTGTATAAATAAATGACTATTTTCCCAGAAAATGGTGAAAAACAAAACAAACTTACAGATCCTTTATGTGAAGCCCCACTGGGAAACAGCCACTTCGGATTTCTGTGAGATCATTGGAGCTCAGGTCCAATGTTTCCAGGGCAACATATGGCTGTAGTTGGCTTGCCTCAATGCTACGGATCTTGTTGCGATTCCTACAATGCAGAATAGAGAAAAAATTGACATAATCCACTTTGTCGTCTCCCCCCGCCCAATAAAATAAGTACAAACATAGAACAGACACAGTCTCTCATCACATTTTTGGCTCCAGGCTAGCAATCAGTGTTCTTGTGGAGTGGGGAAATAAAGTCTAGAAATAAAAAGTAAGGTAAGAAAATGCCTATTATTAAAATGACATATACTGGCACAGACGAGCTTTCAACTTACACAAAGCAATTCATCAAACGGAACAGAAGTTTAAAAGTTCTCTGTTTAGACTGCAATAGAGAGACATTACACATGAGGCCTCCACATTATCTGTTACAGAAAAGTGAAGCACATACAAGAGGTTCTGCTCACTGCCTCACTCTCTCAGACTCTACATGGAGTGAGATAGGAAAAGGGAATACAAGGCTATTGGAATTTTGCAACATTTGTGGCAGCAGTCCTAATTCCACTCTCATCAACAGGTGGTTCCACGTGCGTGAAGTAGACATGTTTCTGCAGTTCATGCTTTGCTTGCTTTAGATGTAATGGTAAGGTATAGTTGTCCTTCACGTGGAACCATAAGAAGGAAGTGATATTCCAGAGGAAAGTGAGAGGACACCAGAGCACAGGGCTCATTTGTGCCATGCCTACAGTTTGGGTTACCTCTGGAGTGATTCTCTATGTTGATAAAAGGCTGCAGGAAGTGAAAGAATAAAGAGAGGCCCAATTCACATCTAACAACTATGGATGGTTCAGGATGGATTGTTTGTTGAATTGCACATTGTTACATGTGAACCCTGCAGCATGGCTTAACAATGGGTTGTTAACCATGAACAACCCAGGAAGACACGTAGCTTGCTGTTGGATTGTGAACTCTGAGTAGAACCCTAGTGCACAGAAGAATAATATTGTGCCACTCGTGTCAGATGGGCCACATTAAGCAACCTGATTTGGCTAGTGTGACTACAGTATACTGATTCAGGACCCTATTCAGACACAGACCATGGGTTGATTCTATCTTCAGCTGGTAGGCTGGGATCTGTAATCGTGCAACAGTCCAAACTAAGGTGGTCTGCAACAGCAGATCTACCACCTTGTGTGTGTGTGTGTGTGTGTGTGTGTGTATGTGTGTATAAATAAAAGAAGAAAAGCATCTTGGTGGGTGGGGTCTCCAAGTACATGTTTGGGATACAGGTGGATCCTGGTCTGAAAAGATGAATACTGTCTGAAAAGCACATAAGGATGAAACCTCAGACACTCTTCCTGCCTTTCCACCTAAAGGCATATCTTGATTCAACAAGGAGGAAATATCACCAAACTTTCTCCTCTTTATACAGTAAATTCTGCTTCTTCTAAAAACAAAAACCCATTTAATTCTTACTCTGACACAACATGGGGAATGCTAGTTGAAATCCACAAGCATATGTGCTCAGCACATCAACCTGCACATACTCCAATTTCCCCTCAAATATCCCCCCCATGTGCCCCCTCAAAACACACAAACAGCCTTTTAATTTCCCAGGAGTTCTAACTCTGTTGGCAACAGATATATCAAAGGTAATAATTCCTAAAGACAGCCCCCCCTCCCACGCACACATCCAACATCTGTGAGCAAACATTTTCCCACTGGAACTTTTAACAAGTGTTGGATAAGTTTCTAAAACATTTTAAGAATTGACACTTCAAGTGCCACAACTGAAAATGAATTAGGAGTATCACAGAGATTTTCCAATGTAACCAGCACCTGTTATCAGGGCTCTGGATGCCCATTTTATTGCAATGTGTATGCAAAGGCCTTTATACCAAAGAAATACTATTTAGGACTGCATATTATTACTAGCTCTCCAACTCATTACATGCTTCCAAAGTAGCTTCCCCCATTCCCAGTGATCAACAAGTCCAGGCATTGTGTAATTCAACAGAAGGAAAGAAAACACACTAGGTGAGAAGCGGGAATTTTTTGCTTATTATTTGGAGGAGATACTAAAATTAAAAGCTGTCCACCAAGTGGTTTAGGTTGGTGTATGCAGGGGAGTCAATAAAAACTGCAACGATGGTACTTTCGGGGTAACCGGAACTAAATTGCTTTATATTTACCAAAGTTTTACCAAATTTCAAGTTTTAAATCCTATTCAAGTTACAACTACTCAAAGTTAAAGTCAAGATCACATCCGGCATCCTTGGCAAAGGAACACTGAGCTAATCCCCCATTTTTCTGCACTATTCAAGAACAATAATGTATTTGTAAAATGCAAATAATGTAATGTATTTTAGCAACATAAAATAATGCATTTCATTTTACCATTGCTATATAAAATGTCTGAACTCCCAAAGCAGGCAAATATCACATAATTTCTAGCCAATTACAGACCTGTTTTTGGTATTTTGAGTTAAAAAAATTTCAATAAATAACCTTTTGCTTGTTGGGAAAGGTTGAAGTCTCAGCAAACCAAGTAGGCCTTTTCCAGTAGTTGCCCTATATTAATATTGCTAAAGCTAACCACAAAAAGAGAGTTGCATTACACAGTCATGAGAGCTAGAAACTTAGCAAGCAAATGATCTATTCTTAGATCATCTGCCATCCCTGCAGAAGTTACTTAACTCCCCTCCCCTCCTCAAAAGTTTTCTATCCTGTCTACTAGTCATATACAAGAAACTACAATATAGAAGTCCCACTCCTTGTCTGTTCCCAACAAGTTTCTCAAAACACAAAGAGGCATTTTATGAAGATGGTGCTTATCCTGCTGTCCTTCAATCAATTTATGTTGAGCTATACGTGTTTTACATGACAGTAACAAACCCCACTTAGTTCAACCGGCTTCTTGTTAATTATGTTGTGTACAGTACTTCCTCTCCTCTCCTTAAAATTCTGACACAGGCACTGAGATCACAATTTAGGTTGGGACCATCAATCCCTCCCTCCCTAGCTGCTTCCTTTCTGAAAGTCATCACCCACTCAGAACATTTTTGAAAATGTTTCTTCCTTTTTAAACTGCAGGAAAAGCGGTGGAACTTCAGGAAAGAAGTAGTTGAGCAGGAAATGATTAAACTTTTTCACCCACACAGCGGTCCCAGCATGGATCGAGGCGGCATACTCACTCTGGTGTAAACGAAATGAACCCATATCTTAGACAATTAACTTAAAAGCAGAGCCTAAGCCTTAATTTTCATGGAGAGAGCCTATGACTGCAGCCTCAGCTGGCCCTGAACTTCTCAGAAATAGAGAGAATAAGGCTGATTTGCAGAACCAAACACACCTCCTTGTATCATTTGCCAAGCACTAGACTATTGTGTGCAGTTTCAGCAGGTGGTGGTGTCATTGAGCAGAAGGTACAGCGGTGTTTGTGTGCTCTAGAGGTGGAGCAAGAAGTGACAGGACAAAACAGGTGGTGCTACTTCAAAAGATCATGCTTTTCTAGGAATATTGGAGTGTGCTTTAGAAGGTAAGGTTACACCTTAATCCCAGTGGGTAGGCCAGTGCTAAATGTCCTCGTGAATATTTATTGATAAGTCTTTTCAGCAGCCTTTTCCCCAAGGGGGGAGACTCTCCCTCTGATGTTAAAGGGGTGATATTTGCTTTGCACAGTAGAAGTTATTTTTGGTTTACTGTAAGGAGAAAGAGAACTGGGAGGCAGGGAGAAATTGCATGGTTGGCCTTCATCTAGGATCAGCTTACAGCATTGGCCAGGCTTTGTTAATTTAGAAAAAAAGACGCTTGAATACAGCAAAACTCTATTAAGACACCACCTGCTATAAGCATCAAAAGCATAACCAAGCTTCAAACGAGAAGAGAGTACTACACATCCCTTTCCGTTCTATTAATATTCAGATATGTTAATATGCAATGAGAAGAACAATTAAACCACCAAAAAAACGCCTGCTACCAAAGGACATGCAAGGTCTTGTGTCACAGAGGAATGTCAGGCCCTGACTGTAGATCGAGATCAAAAAGAGTAGGTTACAGGAGATGAAGTCGATCTGGCTTTCCTTCTTTGGTAGCCATCTTTTTAGCCACAGCAGTTTCAACCTCTGTCTGCAAAGAAAGAATGAATCAGTGAGGCTTTGCATCAAAAGGTTGCCATTCCTCTGGATCCAGAGCAGCCTGGTTCCAGCACATCACTGAATGGATACTTCCTACCACAGTGATAATTCAGGTGCCCAAGCAGACTCTGTTGCTTTTCCTAAACTTCTCAGCATGCAGAGCCTACTGCAGAACAACTGCAGAAGTTACTCACATGACAACTTCCTGGTACACCAACACCACACAACAAGCACTTTAGCACAAGGCCCTGTAGTCTCCAAGGTATTGGATACACATGGGAGTACAGATGGCAAGCAAAAGAAAGTGGCATCCAGTCTTTTGGACCAAATCCATAGGTTTTTGTCTGTTGAATGTTCCATCACCAAACAGCTGAGCTAGAGTTTTAACCAAGCCCATTCCAGTGTATGGAAATTTGGAAAGCAGAAATATCACCAGCATGTTTAACTTATATGTCAGCCGCTGTCTGGCTGCAGGATTGGTGCCACTGCCACTGTCTTCTCCCTGGTAAGGAAACGCAGCAGTTCATTATCCAGCAACAAACAAGTGGAAACTGTCTTGCTTCCATCTCAGCTGCCTGGCAATGGGGGCTTTGCTCCCCAAATAGGAGACAGGGAGGAGACGGTGGTATTGGCGGCAGCAGTGACAAGTCTGGTGACTACATGGGAAGGGTAAGACAATCAGCCTTTGATCTGTGGCATACCAGAGACAGATGTTAGCAAGCTAACCTCTTTTTTATATGATGTGTCCCCTTAGCCCAAGACTCTGCAAACTTCAAGGAAGGATGAGAGGTCAGTGGTGGTACAGTTCATGCAGCCTCAGACTTAATGCTGGATGTTTCCCAATCCCCGCAAACAAGGTGTTGGGATCGAGAGGGCCAGTTGTCCCAGGAGCACACTGGTCTGGACTTAGTGGGGGCTTGCAATGTGGGCCAATTCCAGACACTGAGATGAGAAGTGGAGGCGCTTA